TTCCGGAATTCTCGGCGAGATCCTTGGACGCGGTGGTCGCGGGCGAGGAACCTGCAGCAACCTTTGAAAGGGCCGGCACCCTCCCAGTGCCTTCAGCAGACGGCAACGCGGGCGGTCGTGCTAGTTTCGACGTGAACGGCGTGCCTCGCCGTTCCATCACCGCCTTGGGGAGGGATCTAGGTCGCGAGATGGTTCGCGAAGAAGGGGAAAGCAATCGCGACCACGCGGCGAGGATCATCCAGAAGCTAGATCTACACCGAAAAGCGACCTTTGGAGCCGGTGCCGAAGCAGCGGTTGCTGCTGCCGCCACGCCAGGCAGCGGCGGTATCGCGAGTTTGTTGGCAAGCCACGGCCACCTCCCCGGATACCCTTCTCCCCCCCAGGGCGGGTCAAAGAACTCATCGGTCTCGAGATTACCTGCCTTGGACCCAGTTCAGGGGACTCTGGCCCCTCTGACACTGGCAAAACCTCCCGCAGCAACTAACCTGAGCAGGACGGCTGTCATGTTCTCCGTGGACAGGAGTGTGGGAGGGGACAACACCAGCCACATGCCCACCGCCGTCCTCGCCAACTACTGGGGAAGCAGTGCTTGGAGCGTCGTGTATGGGTCGGGCCCGGGCCGTCCTCGGACTCCTGGGCTGCTCGAGGAGAACCCCTTCGGAATAGTTGTCCGTGAGGTGGGTAAACCCGGGGAAGAGAAGCCTCTGGCCACCTCAGCCGGCGGACACAGGAAAACAGTTAGTGTCGATGCGAAGATCAACCAGCCCCATGTACCATTCAAACAGCCGGCCGAGACATTCCCCCCAGGCTACCCGCCCGAGCTCAGAATCCAGCACCACCAGTTTCGCATTCTCTTCCCCACTGTTCCCCTCGACGAGAAGCTCGTCCTCGTCTTCCGGGCTGCTTGGTCAAGTTCGGCAGGTAAAGACTCGCCATCGCATGGGCAGGGACTTGCGGGCAACGGCCGCATTTACATTACCCCCGACAATATGTACTTTTATGGACAACAGATGGGTCTGGTCGTCGCCTATGCCATCAGCCTCGACATTATCGCCGAGGTCACGGCGGCACCTGGAAAGGAATGCGACTTCATCTTCCTCCACCTCGGAGAGGATGGCAACGACACAGGATACACGAGAATTACTATCAAGATATTCCTGGACAATCTCAAATTACTGCACGCAAGGTTGAACTTGCTCATCGACGATCTCCAGTCGGAGGAGCCGCTGGAGCTGTCAGAGCTTATCCGGGCTTTGATCAACCAGGAGTACGAAGACCACAACAAGCGTAGTCCAAGTGTCGAGAGCTGGGAAGAAATCTCTTCAAATACACCGTTCGATGATGGCACACACTCGGGCCGCCCTGCCAGGCGCCAGAGCCAGTTCGGACCCAGGCTTCGCCTATCAGGCCCCGGTTCTCGACAGACGCCCAAGGTCCAGTTGCCCGCGCATCCCGTCATCTATGAGCCCGAAGACATGCAGAGAATGGTGGCGGAGCGGCACTTTGAGATCAGTGCCAAGGCTTGCTTCCACGTGCTCTTTGGAGACAAGAGCTTCGTCTTCCCCAAGCTCTACTTTGAACGGAGAGCGCAGCAAATCGCCCAAGGCCCATGGGAACTCGCAGACCACGGCCGCATGAAGCGGGAATTCCACTTCAAGTTCGACTATAAAGACATGCTTGGCCGCCACAAGACGGTGGACGTTGTCGACTCCCAGACGATGGACATTTTCCAGGAGCATGTCACGTACGTCGTCACGCACACCAAGACGGCGTGGCACCTCCCGCATTCGCAGGACTTCAAGTTGGTGACCAAGGTTGTCATCACGCACGTAGCCAAGTCCAAGTGCAAGCTGGCGATTTACACAAAGATCGAATGGTCCAAGGTGCCGACGTTCTCCAAGAACCTGGTGGAGCGCCAGGCTCTGAACGACGCAGAGGGCGACGCCGAGGAGCTGGCGGACGTAGCAACGGACCAAGTGCGCAAGCTAGGCCCGCACAGCCGGACGAAGCGGGCGATTCAGGTGTACGGAAACATCGGGCAGCAAACCCAGGTGGTTGTGTTCTCGCCGGCGGACGCGGCCGCGTCGAAGAAGCAGCTCATCAAGCCACGCACGCTGACGGCGATGCTCTTGGAGACGCTCCGATCCTTTGGCGAAAGTGCGGTAACGTCGCTCATTATGTGGGCCATCGCAGGCGTCAAGACGATCTTCAGCGTGGTCACGGCTCATAGACTCATCCTCCTCGTGCTTGCCGTGAGCGCGTTTACGAACATCGCGCTGACCTCCAAGGGGAGTTCGACATGGTGGATGGAGAGAAAGGCGGCCAAATTCATGAGCCGCGTTGGCGTTGGGCCGAACGTGATGATGAGCAAGGCCATCTACATGGCAGACCTGAACGAGGCAACGGGGGCGGTGGGCCACAACAACAGCTGGCCTACGGATAGCGCATGGTTAGTCAAGCCCGAGAAGGTCGGAGGGGAGGGGGAATGCACGCTAACACATGACAGCTTCACCACCTTCCAACTTGTTGCCAATGCCACCGATCTCGATGCTCCGTACGAAGACGCAGGTTCAACGTTGGCATCGGCCACGGGGCGCGCAACCGCCCGGCGGCTGCGCCGGACACGGCAGCGGCTTGGGTCGTACCGGCACGACCTGATCGTGGCGATGCGCATCGTCAACAGCATCGAACGGGAGATGATGCAGTCCGAGTGGGAGAACTGGCTCGCGGACGAGAACATGCGTTGCGATAAGCTCAAGATGGTGTTGGAGGAGGGCGGGGCAGGTGCCAAAACCAAGCGGAGCGGCAGCCAAAAGGTCATGACGGCGGCCATGGACGAAGGCAAGAAGGAGACGCTGCGCGAATGGTACGACACATACTGCGGTAGCTGCAAGCTGGATCACCGGGCGCTGATGAGCGAGCGGAACTCGTTGGCAAGCCTGTAGCGAGAGGGAGAGAAGGGTTGGCTGGGGTACACATTTATTTTTTCGTTTTGTTGGAAACGGTGGAAGCTTTCGTCAACAAACACATACACAGTCTAATGTTCGTCTCCGTACTGGGGAATAATCATTTGTTTCATCATTTTTACACTACACGCGTGGTTTCTAGTCGCAAGCCTTGGCTTAGTTAGTGTCTTTTGCTAAATGTCTGCGGTCGTCCCATAAGACCATGAATGACCCAGACCGTTGAAAGCATTTCCGGAACATCATGACGATGCGGCGGGATTGTCTGCCTGGCACACGGACAGAAAAAAAGAGGGAAAGAGGGGGGGGGGGGGGGGGGGGGGTGGAAGCCCTCCACAGGTTTCGTCGACGATGCATTTCAGCCGTGCACCCCTTCCCTCGGGTCAATTCGACCCCATGGGGAGAGAGACAGAGAGAGAGGGAGAGAGGGACGAAGATCTCAAGTGCCTCATCCCAGGCCCAAGGATTGCGAGATGCAAGCAGTGTACGGATAGACTAACTACGATGTAGATCTAACCCAAATATGAGTATGGATAGACTGAAACGACTACGTAAGTCAAGAATGCAAAAGAACGCCCGCCCGCCCCTCGTGTCCCAGACCCCCAATAGCGGAGAGAGTGCAAGGTACAAATGGATAAAAGGGACGACGTAGTGACATAACTGTGTAGGGATCACAGCCGGATGGGGGAGCCTTGGACGACGTAGTCACGACACCCAGTGTGAGGGACTTCGTGAGGGACAAGAACAGTCGGCGGCACGCAAGAAGGGGTTGACTTCATCGCCGTAGAAGGTCTCCAATGAGAGGGACCCGAGGGGACGGGCGGGGGTTCTAGCCCATGTATGGATACCAGTAGAACACACGGATTCTAGACGATCTGTAGCGCCGTAGGTTCCCGACCATTGGTCCGCCGGGGAGGGATGGATCCCACGACCGCCAATTGTGACGTCGGGACGAACCAGGGGAGCCGCCATTCCCGACAGCCTCTCCCCTTCTCTGAGGGCCAACGTTGTACTGTGTACATGGACATGGGAAATGACGTCAGCGTTCAGACTTGGGGGAAAGCGAGGGAGGCAGACCACACTGTACATGTACATGCACACCACCTAGAATTAGGGGGGAACTTGCCAGTCTTGCCTGTTGGTGAACCTGGCCGTACGGGGACTGAGAACCTGGGCAACGATGCCATTCCCGACATCTTTGCAGCGGATCGGTCGGAAGAGACTCACTCGATTGCGAGTGGCATGATGGACGTGATGGAACATGGGGAAGGAGAATTAGGTCCGTCCGGGGCCGACGGCAATTAAGCGCATCCCGATCTACCTAGGTACCTTAGGTATCCGTCCATACATACAAATATAGACGTGGACAGGACGGATAATTACCCACATCGCGTGACATGCACTACGTCCCGTGTATCCGTATAACGTACATAGTACCTATGCAACTCGGACAAGCGTGCAGTCGAGCCAAACATCGGCCTCCATTCATCCGTCTGTATCCGTACCTTGATTGCCGGCCAGCTCATTCGCGTCCCTGAGACCGGGGAAAGGCCGTGATCCCATACCTACCGTGCTACCTACTGTACCATTGACGTCTCTCTTACTTCAGTGTGTACATATGTACATAGGTATACGCAGGCACACTTCATTAGTATTAAGCCGCACGTGGGGCACCTCTTGCAGACCGACTCTAGGCCCAACTTTGAAGCTTTATTTCCTCTCCGTTTTTGCACAGTAATCGACCACCCCTCCCAACTATTAACCTCGTCAACCCTGCTCCGCCCCACGACCACCAACACGACCGCCCATCCCTTTTGCCGTCACTGAGCTCACATCCGGTCCCTGACGAATATTCCCTCTTGCAATACTCGAAATTTTGAAACCACCCGTCCGAGTCCGTACTCGCTGTACAATATCACTTCTGTTCGGTTTCATTGAGCGGCTTGGGCTATGACATCTTTTTAAACACCCTACGCCCCGATTTCACCCTCACCCTCCCCTCCCCCTCCAACGCCACTCGTAACCCTCACAGCAGCAATGGTGCCACATCACGAACCCTTTCAAGGTCTCGCACCTGTCAAATGGGACGCCGTCGACCAAGAGGACCCCCAAGAGTTCATGAAATGCGTCCTCGCCGACGCTCAAACGATTGTCGACTCCATCCCCGTCCCCGCATCCGTCAAACAGGCAGTCGCCTCCCAAGGCCGCGCCCGCTCGCAGACCGACCCCCCGCTACCCGTCGCCGACATCAACCGCTCCCTCTCTCAGCGCCAGACGGGCGCTTCTCTGCGCCTGTCGCAGGACCTGTCCAAGGAGTGGAAGGAGGTCAAGGTCAACGCGAGAGACAACCCGCTCGCCATCAACGTCTATAAGCTTGCCTCCAAGGACGGCAAGGGCAGCTGGTTCGCCCGCCGCAGCGTCCACGATGGCCTGACTTTTGAGAAGTGGAAGCTGGGCCTCGAGAGGGAGTTTGCCGAGTCCATGAAAGTGCAAAGCGGCCCCGGCGCCGGTGCCATCCGCGGCATCGGCGCAGAGAAATGCGTCGTGCACCAGGTCGTTCAAGGATCTGGAAAGATGGAAGGTGAGCTTTGCCTGAAGCTCTTTCGCACCCACGCTCCCCCATTCGCTGACAACTTCCCACGCAGTCTTCCAATTATCGGCGCAATTCCCGGGCCCGACGGCTCCGAGAGACTTTGTCACCCTGCTACTGACTTCCGAGTTTTCCGGCAGCGCCCCGCAGGAGGGTGGCCAGCGTCCGCTAAGGACGTTCATGATCGTCTCGAAACCGTGCATACATCCCGAGTGTGCCGAAAGGCAGGGCTATATCCGAGGCCAATACGAATCGGTCGAGGTTATACGCGAAATCCCGTCCGATAAGCCCGCCGCCCTCTCCCGCGCACGATCTTCAATTGACCTTAGCCAAGACGGTGCAATGGAACGACAGGCGGTTGCCGAGTCGATAGGCAAGGAAGCCGTGCTCCGGGCAGCCAAGAAGGCAACGGATGGCGAAGCACGCCACCGAGGCGTCTCTGTCAACAGTGCCCCGGCCAGAGATGACGCCAGACATGCCGGTGAGAGCCTCGGGGAGGGGGAGGGTTCGAGAGCTGTCGAATGGCTCATGGTCACCCGCAGCGACCCTGGAGGCAACGTGCCTCGTTTCCTCATCGATCGGGGTACGCCAGGCGGCATCATAGGAGACGCCGCCAAGTTCCTCAACTGGCTAACCGCTAAGCCTGCCGAAGACTTCACCGCCTCGGACTCTGAACAGGAGGAGATGAAGCAAGGTGCTAAGCAGGCTGAGGAAACCATGGATGCCTCACCCGCGGAGACGGCCAAACGCCCGACATCAAACCTTGTGCCCGAGCCCTCGGCACAGGTACGGGACGAGAGCGTTCCCAGCAGCAACGGCCTCTACGGCATCATCTCCGGGGCGTTTGGCATGGCCAGCTCTGTGGTGGCAAGCCGCATCCCGGACGGCTACGCTCTTCCAGGCATATTCCAGGCGCCAAGCACCAGCGGCTCGATAATTGAAGAGGACGAGGTGGATATGGACAGCAATGAAAGCGACACGTCGTCCATTCGAAGCTTCACCTCTGCCGTTGAGAAGACGGACGAGGGCGAGGCCGTCACTCCTCCCGAGACCACGCAGCCCGACACGCTATCGCTGCACTCGTCGGGCTCCGCTGCTCTATCCATCCAGGGGTCCAAGCCGCATTCGAACCACGAGAGGGAGCTCAGGAAGCTCCAGGAGCGCCGCCAGAAGATGCAAGACAAGATCAACAAGATGCAGGAACGCATGACCAGCAAGCGGGACCAGGACACACAGAAGGAGGCGGCGAGCCTGGCTAAGCTGCGCGAGAAGCACGACAAGGAGATGGCCAAGCAGGAGGAGAAGTACAAGCGCGACCTGCAGCGCCTGGAGCAGCGTCGCGAGCACGAGCAGCGCAAGGCCGAGGAGAAGCGCCGGAAGCAAGCGGAGAAGGAAGAGAAGAACAACCTCTCCCTGGAGCTCGAGCGCGTCAAGACGGAGCGGGACGTCGCGCTCAAGGAGATCGACATACTCAAGGAGCAAATCGGCCAGCTGCAGACCCAGAACACCATGCTGGTGGTCAAGATGGGCAGGATGGGCGGGCCCAAGAGGCAGGACTCGTCGCTGAGCGTGACCGGCGAGAAGCAGGTCGCCCAGAGCGTCTCCAACTAGGCCAAGCGCAGGAGTAGTGACTGCGAGACACGGGAGCCAGGGAGCCAAATCCGCCTGAGGGCAGGGGGCGAGTGGGCTGCAAGACAGGATACCCAGTGCGTCGCGTGAAAAATAGGAGGGGGAGAGGCAGGAGTAACGAGGAATTCGAAATGGGAAACAAGCATCGAACGGCGTCGGGGCGTGCCAGCCAGCCTTCTACAAGTTTTTTAGTTTTTTTCTAACGTACTTTTCACGGGTCATTTCCTTCTATTCTTGTTGTCGTTCTTCTCACGGCATTGTATACGAAGCATCTCTGAGCCAAACAAACTTTTGAAACTTTCTTTTCCGTTTCTTTTCCTCAAACCCCACCAGTGAAAAGAGTGAAGACCGTTGTTGCTACCTCTTTATCCATACCCGTCTACCTAACCGTGAATACGAATGGGCGCGCCACCCCCGCCGCCTAGACGGCCGCCAAGTCGAGCAGCAGCCCGTGCAGGCGGCCGCGCCGGCCCGCGCTCCGGAACCGCTCCAGCTTGTTCCGCAGCAGCTCCGCGCCGGCGGCGCCCGTCCGTGTCAGCGCCGCGGCGCAGACGAGGACGCGGGCGCAGACGGCGTAGACCTGGGGGTCCGAGGCCCAGCCGAGGGGTCCGTCGACGGCGTCGTCGGGGGAGACGAGGCCCAGGAGGGCGTCGAGGCCGGAGGACGTCCACTGCGTCAGGGCGGTGGTGGTGGCGGTGGCTGAAGAAGACGAGGAAGAGGGAGAGAAGACGTCCTCGAGGACGGCGGCCCAGCGGGTCGACTCGCGGACCTCGTCGATGAAGAGGTTCTGCTCCTCGACCACGAAGAGGGAGTCGTCGAAGCGGAGGGCAGTGGCGAGCTGCGCCTCCGCGGGCTCCCACGCGTCCTCGCTGCTGTGGCCCGCGAGGCGGGAGGCCAGGAGGGCGTGGAAGGCGGGGGCGTCGCGGTAGTCGCGGGCGATGTGGACGAGCAGCAGCGGGGCGGCGTCGAGGGCGGCGAGGGGCCGGGCGAGGACGTGGCCCGCGGAGACGGAGGCCAGGTCGCGGACCTCGTCGTCGTCGTCGTTGAGGGCGTCGTAGAGGGCGACCAGGGCGGGGAGGCGAGCGGCCTCGTCGGCGGCATCGGCAGCGGCTGATGACGAGGCGAAGAAGGAGGCGAGAGACGCCGTCGCGGCGATGCGGGTGTCGAAGGGGCGGGAGTCGACAAGGGCAGAGGACATCATCCGGCCCCAGCCGCGAAGCGCGCGCGCGGGCGCCGCGTTGTCCGCTGACGGGGAGGCGGCGAGGACCGCCATGATTGGGCCGCTGGCGCGGACGACGGCGTTGTAGAGGTTGGGGTTCATCGTCTTGGAGACGAGGTCCTGCCAGAGCCCGACGAGCTTCTCCGCGGACGGGAGGCCGGCGGGGGGTTGCCTGGCGTCGGGGCCCGCGGAGGCGAGGACGAGGTCGAGGACCTCGGCGAGGTTGTCGAGGGCCGCGGCGCGCGGGTCACATGGACTCTTCGACTCTAGCAGCTGCCGAGTACCGCGCGGCTACCAGAAACATTACACAATTAACGCTAACCTGGAGAAGAGGTCGCCACCTACACTCCTCGACAGCGGGATATGCCTGCATCCACGTGTTAGTCGGGCAACTAAGCGCTTGGATGCCGACCATACCGTGTAAGAAAGGGCGAAGTGAAAACCAAGCGAAATAAGCCGTTAACAAATTAATACCAGTCATCATGCCTGTGCAGTATTAGTACTCGTTCATCCAATCCGTAAAATTCGGCACCCAGATGCTCGCCGAGTTCATGAGCCAAGACTGGGGCATCCGGTAGCACTACCATGGAGAAAAGGGATGAATGGGGCAGGTGTATTGCTCCTCCGTTGGCGTCACTTGTCCGAAGTTCAGGCGTTAGGGAACTCCCAATAGAGGCCCGACTCGGGGGTGGTGAAGAGGTGCGCGGCAGGCTCGGGCATCGGGTGGGAGAGGGCGAAGAGGGAGACGAGGTTCTCGACCTCGAGGTGGGCGGCGCGGATGTCGGGGCAGTGCTCAAAGGCCTCCGGGTCGCCGGCCTCGATCTTGGAGAGGATCTGGGCCAGGCGCGGGACGGCGGACGACAGCTTTCGCGGGGCGACGTCCGAGAGCCGCTCGAAGACGGCCTTGACGGTCAGCAGCGCGCCGTGGATGTGGTTGTTCCTGCTCGCGGGCGCGGCGGCCAGCGCGTCGCCGACGATGGCGGCGGCGGCGGCGACCCAGCCGTCGTCCTTGAGCAGGAACGAGCACAGCGCGCGGGCGGCCATCTCGCGGACGTGCCAGACGGGACTAGCGAGGTAGCCGGCGACGAGGCCGTAGAGCTCGTCGCGCGAGGCGTCGGGCGGGCCGGCGCGGCGGAGAATGTCGAGGGCCGGGAAGACGGACTCGGCGGCGATGGTGCTGCCGAGGGTGGTGGGCTTCATGACCTCGCGGCCGGATCGGAGGAGGTTCAGGAGGACGCCGGGCAGGACGGGGTACTTGTGGTACTGCAGGCGTGTCGTCTTGCCGTCCCACCCGGCTTCGAGGGTGGCCTTGCTCTCGTTCGTGCCGAAGAGGTTGTCGAGAAGGGAGCGGAGGAAGAGGAGGCCGCAGTTGCGGATGCCCCAGCTGCGATGGGTGTCAGCGGGAGGAGTGTATTGGTGAGGAGGGAAGAGGCGGAGGTCAACTTACACTTCCGACTTGAGACTGCTAGCCGCGAGCTCGAGGCACCCCGGGATGTGAGGCGCGGACTTGCCGAGCTGGGTGATGAAGGAGCTCTTGAACATGTCCTTGAGGCAGTTGAGGGCGTGGACCTGGGGCAGCTTGGACCCGTCCGACTCGGAGTTGTAGGCAGGCTTCTGCGCGATCGTCACGAGCTCCTCGATGACCTTGTCGAACGACGGCCGGGGGGCGTTGGCGGAGACGATGCCCGTGATCATGGCCGGGATGCCGGCGGAGCGTCGCGTGGTGGACGCCTGGGCGAAGATGCACTCCTTGGTTCCCTACAGCGGGGGTCAGCATCGGAGCGGCGCTTTTCCTCGGACAGGGAACGCGTACCTTGTACCAGATGTCGAGGAGAGTCTCGTCACCTCCATGACCGGCCTTCGGGTCGTCTAGGTGCTTGACCAGCTGGCAGCAGGTCGCGAACGAGAGGGAGACCGTGTTGAATGCACCGCGGTGCCGCAGACTGGAAAGCTGGTCAAATGTCAACGAGCCGACGGCCGTGAAGAGCTCCGTCGAGGGACGCATGGTCCCCTCCTTGGCCTTGGTCTTGAGCGACAGGACCATGACGCGCATCAAGGCGCTGAGATTTGTCAGTCTTGCCGCGTACTGTTGGTGGGGGGGGACGATTCTTACCTAGACTCGTGGATGGCGCGGAAGCTGTAGCTCAGCAAATCCTTGGTATCGAGGCCTTCGAGGTCCTCGAGCTCCTGCGGCAGGTGACCTTCGGGTGAGTCGTCACAAAGGATGTCCCTGACTGCGGCCCAAATACGTTGGCAACACATGACGATGCGGCCTTGGAGTGATGTCATCAATTCGAGTTCGGACTGCGTGAAGTTCATATCGGCAGCGGCTTGCCAAATGTAGCTGATACGGTCAGTTACTGTACGAAAGAGGCATATGGCTCTGTCTGGACTCACCGAAGAGACGCGAAGTAGCCGTGAACGGGAGCCTCCAGCACGGCGTTGCCCAAGTCAGCCTCGGCGAGCGTGAGCTTGCTCTCGAGAAGGTCCACCAACTTGGAAATGTGCGCAATCTGCGCGGTCCTGCCGTCGTAGAACCTGAAAAGCAGCTCGTTCGTCCGGGCAACGCCGTCGGCGTGGTCGGCGCGGGCAGTCCTCCTCGCGATGTCCTCGGCTCTCGACAAGAACTCCTCAAGGGTGTGCGACACACCCTGCGTGCCGACGAGGCACTTGAAGCGCTCATCGGCGAACAGGCCCTTCAGGACGCTCGTGCCGTTTTCTCGGACGTCGTCAAAGGGGTCCATGATTAGGTCCAGAAGCGTGCGTGTCCATCTGTCGTCAAAAAGGTTGAAGAAAAGAACGTCGTCGTCCTCTGTCTCCCAGGTCTTGGCGAGGTCGGCCTCGAGCTTGAGGACGAAGGCAACTGCCCGCAGAGACGTGAAGTGACGCTGGAACGACGCGGTGGGGATCAACTCGGACCGCAGGAAGGCAATGTACCATGCCAGGAACTCCTCGTGCTGCTTCAGGCTCTCTCGCAGCTTGTCCTCGGGCCAGAACAGAATGTTGGTCCGGTGGTTTGCCTGCTTCGGTGCCTTGGGGGCGGGTTTCGGCGCGCCATTTGCTGCGGCGGCCGCACCGTCGAAGGCCTTGAGGCGGGCCAAGCTCTTGGTGATGATGAAGATGGCACCCCTGTTCCGCTTGAACATGTCCTTCAGCTTGCTCAGCACCTCCATGCGGAACTTGGCGTCCGATTCTGAGAAATACGTTGGTAGATGGGCCTGCAAAAGACGAAGAGCAACCGGGGAATACGGCCTTGTCGTAGAGGGAGAGGCGACGGTGAGCGACAGCGCTAGCGAGCGGAGCTCGTGGGAAGGGTGAGAGAGTACCCTCTCAAGCACGCTCTCTTCCAGGATTACCGAGGAGGACTCCTCTCTGTAGATGGCACCTGCATCGATGGTCGTCAGAAACGTTGCTTACATCCAGTGGCGACATAACATACCGGGCTCCTCGACCATGCCGACCTTCTTGCCGACTTCGAGAACGGCGAGGTTTAGCTGGGCCAACGTGTCCAGCTCGGCTACCGCCGAGCCAGACGCAGACCACATGCTGTTGATCTGCTCCAGGATCTGAACCGAATCCTTGCGTTCGTCCTTGAACAGCGGGAGAAAGACATACGTCTTGATGCCCTCCAGGAGAGACGGCGTCTTGGAGATGGCGGCCTGCACCCAGCGGAGCCACGTCTCGACGCTGAACGGCTCGGCCGCGGCGGCTTGCGGGCTCTTCAGTGATCGCTGCCGCAGCGCCCTGAAAATGGTGACGATGAACTTGCCCGCGGTGGGGCAGACATAGTGCATGGTCATCCAGTCGAGCATCTGGCCGAAGAAGTCCTGCCACAGCCCAATGTCGGATGCCCAGCTGCACGACGGTTGCGTGCGCCGGTAGCTCGCGGCGATGTCGTCGACAGTGAAGACGGACTTGGACGCAAAGTGGTCCATGGCCTTGAGCGATGACTTGAGCAGGGGCTTGGTGGACTGCGGCCCGATGATGGAGATGAGGGTGTCGAGGACGGTCGTCTTGACGGTCTCGGCGGCGACCGGGTCCGGGTTGCGGCGGATGAGCGAGGGCAGCAGGTCCAGGACCAGCTTCATGGACCGGTGCTGCTCCGTCTCATTCCACTTGATGTAGAAGTTGAACAGCCGCAGGCTAGGCTCTTGTGAGAAGGCCCATTGCCGCAGCGCCGGCTTGTCCGACTTTGAGCTCTGCTCGACAAACCCGCAAAGCTTCACGCAGGAGTTTCCCGAGACGCCCTTGGGCTGGGCGGCCAGAGACAGGAGATGGTCAAACACATCTTGCGCGATACTAAAACAGGGCGGGGGGAGAAGAGTGTTAATTCACTTTTACGCTTGGAACACGCAGTTTAGGAAGGGCTAAAATCTCTCTTACGAAGTCCATGACTCTTCAGGCTGTTCTTCAACCCATTTGAGCAGGTCACTCGGGTTGACGAAGCTCTCGTACTGGGGGGCCGTATCCTGCTTCATCGCTATCTCATAACTTGGGGTTGACGGCTGCCCGGCGAGTGACGCTGAAATTTGAATGAGGGGCACCGAGGGGCACGGGAGAAGCGAATGAGCGCGGTGTACTGACTGCTAGGTACCGAGCCGGTATCAGCAGGGGTGTGATTTTCTCGGCGTGTAAGTGGCGGGACGGCGTGCACCCAGAACTCTGGCATTCCAGCCAGTCTTACATAAAATATCCCGATGCGAAAGTGAAATGTAAGGCCGTCAAGTACTGGAAAGTCACTATGAGTTTTTCACCGAGTGGCCCATAGGCGCAGACGCAGGCGCAAAACTGTTCTTGACTCGGCGCGCTGGCGAAAAGACTCATCGGCAGGCAAGGTACATGGTACCTCGGCGTGACCAATCGTCTGCGTCTCAGGGAACGACACGCGCACGGGCCACGCCACACAGATGTGCCCTAATTGAAAAGAAGTCGCGCCCCGCCAAATTTTCAATCGCCTCTTTTTTCCTACTCCTCCAACCCCCCCCAACTAACCCATCAGCATCTACCGTAAGCACCAGATTCCTGGGAGATATCGCAAAGATGTCGAAAATTACGGTTGCCAACGTTCGCACTCAGGTCGCTGAGCTCCTCGAGTACTCCCTCGAGACCAAGAAGCGCAACTTCCTTGTCAGTATTCCCCCTTCCTCTCTCGTCTCGCCGCCGACTTGTGTGTGCGCGCGCGGCCGAGAGAAGACTGACTTCCTGTCGCCTCGGATCAATCGCTAACCCCCTCACAGGAGTCTGTCGAGCTCCAGATCGGCCTCAAGAACTATGACCCCCAGCGTGACAAGCGTTTCTCCGGCACCGTCCGCCTGCCCGTCGTCCCCCGTCCCAACATGAGCATCTGCATTCTTGGTGACCAGCACGATATCGACCGTGCCAAGCACGGCGGTGTCGACGCCATGTCCGCCGACGACTTGAAGAAGCTCAACAAGAACAAGAAGCTCATCAAGAAGCTCGCTCGCAAGTACGACGCCTTCGTCGCTTCCGAGACCTTGATCAAGCAGATCCCCCGTCTTTTGGGTCCTGGTCTGTCCAAGGGTATGTCTTTCTTTCCTCTTTGCCGAACCTACGGATCAGGTACTGACAGTCTACGCAGCCGGCAAGTTCCCCACCCCCGTCTCCCACGCCGACGATCTCTCTGGCAAGATCACCGAGGTCAAGTCCACCATCAAGTTCCAGCTGAAGAAGGTTCTCTGCATGGGTGTCGCCGTCGGCAACGTCGGCATGACCCAGGAGCAGCTGATTGCCAACATCATGTTGGCCATCAACTACCTCGTCTCCCTGCTGAAGAAGGGCTGGCAGAACGTCGGTAGCCTTACCATCAAGGCTACCATGTCCCCCCCCAAGCGCCTCTACTAAGCATGCGGCGCCCTTCTTTCTACGACGGCGTCTGTACTAGATCATCGCGGGGGATTGTTTATGTCGAGGGCTTGAGTGCCTATTCGCATAAGCAATCAAAACCAATGCGGGACGAACCCTACGGGCAATTCATAGGAAGCTCTGCGCACGGATAAGGAGCCGGTCAATACAATTTCTCCTTTTCCAACAAACATCAATCATTTGTGTCAGTCGCGTCGTGCAACGTGAGATGTGTATGTGTAAACTAGTGCTTGTCAACACAGGGTTGCTAAGCCCGTATGGCCCTGAGTGTGTCTGCTAGATGTCATGCTTCGCTATAGTGCCTTTCTTTTTCTCTCCTTCCCTCCATCCTTCGCTGAGAGCCGGCAAGACTTGTAGCGCGTAGCACGCAATCAGCTTAATATTCAAAGTTTCTGCCAGCTATCGTCACATACGACCATACCCACTGGAAAACTCGGGATCCCGTCCGCTCTCCCATAGATAAGCCAGTGAGGGCCGGATTAGTAGTTGAGTCGGTGACGATCAGCAAATACCTGGTGTTGTATGTTTTTTTGCTTTTGTTCCCTTAGCTAAGGGGCAACATAATCTCTATAACACCTATAAATTATTACATATAACTACACCCACTAGATGTCGAAGTAGGCAATATAGCCGTGTGCGTCTGGGCCTGGGTTCCCCTCTAGTAAAAAAGTAGACAGCTAAATAGTAGTAAGCAAATATAGAAAAAGGAAAACTTGAAAATTAGAGCACTATTAAAATAACAAGAAGAGGACTTTTTATTCATCTATTATCTTGTCTATAACTCTAATACTGTCAGGCAAACGCCTAACCCCTACCCCTATGACCTTGCTGATTGTTTTGCAACCTAGATCGTTTGTATTGATTGGTGTGGTGACTGTGAGTCCCATTTGGGAACCTGGTTCAGAATGCCCATGGGCCCATTAGTAGGTGGACCGGTCATCCAAATATGTAGAACTGGAGGGAGGGGGAATGAGACGACGCTTTTGAGTAGCGTGCCTAGGGATGCCGTAATCCAGCAAGATCCGGGCCCATCCCCGTCTCGATCGAGGTGTGTCGAAGCGCAATGTCGAGCAACGAAGTCGATGATCCTCGAGTTCCCAAGTCGACATGCCAGAAGAGCGATGGGCCATGGCGCCTCTCGTGGCACACGCAAACCAGCCAACTGCAACTGTCTCACCTCTTGGTGATGGTTTGCCCTTGACAGCTTTCCGCAGAGCACACATTGTCAATCGGTCCTGGCACCGGTTGACGTTCAGGACTCTCCACCACAGTGTTCCTGTTTTGACGTTACTGCGAGGGCGACGATTCCTGTCCTGTAACACATCTGGGAGTCCGACTGGAGCCCCCCCCCCCCCCCCCTTACCCTGCGGAGGCTTGGACGCTGGTATTTTTCGACCGCCGCGGAAACCAGCTGACGAGGTTGCAATGCTCCTCAACGGTAAGGTGCTCCAAAACCAGATCGAGTGCTATATGCGCGCTGTTCGACGGTTCTCTTCTTCCGGGCCATGTGTCGATTTTCCTACTTCGGCTTGCAATGTAGCCCAGAAGCGCGTTGGCGAGACCGTCTTGGCCACTCGGGCACCATTTGACGATGTCTTCGTGGCCCGACATAGCAGCGGCTATCAAGGGGCTGTCTCTGCGAGAGATACTTGAAGCCGGAGATTGGAAGCTGCTTGTAGACATCGTCATCCTCAACGCGAACAATTGTCTACATGTCCGCCAAGGGCCTCGGTATTTCGAGAGGTCTTTCATCCACGATATGGAAGCGTATGCTATCCAGCTCAGGTCTGTATTAGCTACGGCTGCGAGATGCAGCCCTGAAGGGCGGCGAGCAACAAGCCGGGCTTGGCAAGAATCGCTCATCTTCCGGGAACAATGAAAATTCCTTCTTATAATCAGCGTGATGACGTCTCGATGCCCACCCTCAGCGGCGACTTAGTGTGCACTTTTTTAATGGCCTCTTGCGTCGATATTAGCTTTTTGAGTCTACGAGGTGTTGGGGTTTTGCAGATGTGAGGCAGGGTGGTTAGTGTAGCTAAATAGAGACCCCTCTTGGATGATGAAAGTAGCTGTAAACGTAATAGACCTACCTCTGCGAGGGCTTACAACTCACCAGGACGTGTCTGTAACAAGTATAATCCAGGCAAGCCGCAGTTGTTAGCCAGGCATCAACATACTTCAAGCCTGGGCGCTTTCAAGATCAAAAGATAGAACGTCCTGTTGGAAGTCAGATTGATTGGCTGCCACTGCTTTATCTAGTTGCATTAACAAACGTACTCCTGAACAGTCCTGCGCACTTTGAGACAATTATACGTTTGCTGTCATCTGGCGTGCTTGTCAGCAGCAGAGCACTATTCCTGCTGTTCTAGCTATAAACCTAGCCTGGCGCTTATCCTAGATTCCTAAGCGCGACTTTCTTTATGCTAATCTTAAGAGTTCTTTACGTGGGGAGAAAACCAGTTCTACCTAGTTATTTCAATAGTAACAACTTTAGACAAATCTTTTGTCTAGGACCTTAGTGACTCAAATGTTTACTCTGTAAAGTTTTAATATTCTACATGCTTTCAAAAGTGACAACTGTTCCTCACGCACATTACAGCAATTTAACTTTAGACTTCACGGGCACAATAATTTTTTAAGCGAGTGTCTTTGGTCTACGGATTTAGGTTTAAATACAGAGACCAGTCTGGTCCTCAAATTATCCTCAAATCACCCATCGTCCATTCTACAATCCGTAGCATGGGAGTACACTCTTGATTGAATTTGTTCGCAGCCATCTTGCACGAGTTCCGCAAAATGTATGTCGAGGAGAATGTTGAATCCCGTTTGTCTTTGCGCGACAATGCCAGGATATTGCAGCATGTCTAATGTGAACGACGGTGGCTTCTGTTGAAGCTATCTTAACCGAGAGTGTCGGAGGGGTTGGCGCGGGCAGCGTCAACTTCCTCCTGATAAGCGTCCACTCCATCTTTCTCATCGATAAGCACGAGGATATAGTTGACGCTGTCAGAGACATCCCTGTCGCGCCGAACGATGCCTGCCTTTTCGGCCTCAGAGCGCGACATCTTGATGCTCTCGGGTTTGATGCCCTTGACTGGGGTGGCAGCAACGGTAGCCGCGAGGACGGCAACGAGAGCGAAAAGTGTCGACTTCATTTTGATTGAGAGGTGTTCTTGATTGAAAAACTTGGGAAGGCTTGTGAACAGTTAATACTGTTGAAGTGTTTGAAGTTTGTAAAGATGATATTGTTGAAATTGTTGGGTGACTGGTGAAGAAAAAGAGACTGTTCAGATGGGGGAATAGTAGTCTCTTTATACTTAAGACCTTTGGTGAAATTGCTAAACTACCATGATGTTTGATCGAATCTCGTGACAATAATTCCTCTCGGCAACAGATCTCTGTGTTCCTCACACGTTAGGTCGGTGAATCACTGTGTAATTGCCAGGAGAGGGAACATTTCTCTTCTGGTTAATTCATTTGCCGTAAACGGCTTACAGCGATTTCCACAGATTAGGAGCCCATGCATAAGAAAGAGGGGAGTGCATAAACAGAAACACATCATTGTAAGTTTAGCTAATGATATTTATTTTATTCTAGCATATACACTGAGCTAGATCTATGTCTAACTTATGTTAAATTAATAGAACCTGTAAATAATGATATAGCCTCTAACCTTTGAGGACACTTATTAGACATTTCAGTATATATTAGACTTTTATAAACATATAATGAGACCTGTAAAACCTTGTAAGATAGTTATGTAAGAAATTATATAGACATGTGTATAGGACAAGGTTTCTGTAAGATTTAACTCATAGGTAGAATCCTTTTATATAGTGAAAGATAGCCTTCTACTAGGACTATAGCCTTTAGTTTTGAACAGTCTTGGTTTAAAATATAATTTAACAAAAGACTAACTAGGCTAGGGTTACTATAAGGTTTAACTTCTAAGTAGAGTGAAAGTGTGCAGAGTAGAAGGGGCCTAAGTAGTGTAGTAATCTAGAAGAGACACACTAACAACCTTAAAGGCAACACAAGATGCTTCCTTGATCAGTGCGAGGTTGGCTTGATCGGAGCTTCCCGGTCTACCCGATCGAACTGATTCAGGCCCCGATCGAGATAAGCCTTGCCGCGATCGAAGGGGTAACTCTCCCGATCGTCTTGTATTATCACATCTAATCAGTCAATCAAGGCAGGGCTCTAGACTTGATTATACTAAAAGATAGGTGTCTAGAAAATGGAAAGAAAGTTCGATGACTCGCCTATCTATCTGTGATTAGTCTGGTCTGATATCTTGAGAACCTGATCTGACACAGCCTTCCTGGCAGCCGTTTCGGAATTGACAGGAGGAGCTAGGCTACGATAGTAACGTGAAATGACTTAGTGCGAAGGTGAAGCGTAACGGCAAAGCAGTGAAGCAAGGCAAGCAATAACCAGGAGCTGAACGGATGACACAGGACAAACAAGTGATAGATAGATAGCTGTATTGATGGTTGACCTCTCTCCTGTGGGAGGTCTGATGGTGATAGTCTATATACCTGATAGGCACGTGAAGGACGGCACCTGTCCTGTGACACGATCGGAATACTAACTAACCTGCCCTGACCACCTCTTATTCCTTGTGTTTAGGGCTACTTGTAATGTGTAATAGGCCTGATCGCCCCGCCCTGTTCCAATAGTTTTCTTCCACAGCAGAACCATCGCAAATCCAGCCATTAGCCAAGTTATGATACTAAGCAAAAAACACCTCACATTAGACAGGGTTACTGTCGCTTGTGTTGAAGTCAGAGTTAGGCTCATAACTATCACGAAGCAGGACCTCCTAGGGGACAATCCATACAGTTAAAAATGACCCGTTATCTCTCGGCAGTGTTGCGTCAGGAGAAGTTTCTCAATACCACCTCAATTCTAGATTCACAAACAAGGGTAATGTCGCTTAGCTATATACCCGTTTAGCCACTAGCTAGTTTTGTAACAAAAACACGTGTTGACATAGTAGTAGTAGGCCGTTGCCACCTAAGGTATATTGACCCATTTAACTTTACCAAGTTTATGTGACCTGGGAGTTAGCCAGACATTCGCTAAAACTATTTAACGCGTCGTTATGCTGAGATTTGTTACTTATAAGAAGATCCAAGAAGGGAAAACAGTAAAAAAGCTTCAGGACTAGTGTAAAAACCTCAAACATATGTTCCACAATTCTTACTTTAGCAATATCAAAAGTTTGCTAGGCTCCCTGAATTATAGTTTAAAACCTTCCTTACTCAAGTCCCTATGATGTAAACTAAATGTAAAGAATGTTTTCAAAGTCTATAAGGAGGATTCTTTTACAAGTCGAATTATTTCCCGGATCAGCTCCCATATATGATGTTTGCACCTTTATGTATGGTTCCGCATAATTGGCTCTATTCTAGTTTCTTGCGCTCTTTCACTCATAAACTGTTGTCTTTTACAAGAACAGGTTAAGTCTAAGACTCTCGAAATTGCAAACATTATGGAAAGCAAAGAAACATCCTACAAACCTCTGATGTCAGAGGAGACCAGAGACTCCGAGTCTCTTGAAGGCTCCATGTACTCTATCAATGGGGCTCCAAAGCATCGACTTTGGTCGAAGTGGAAATTACGGCTTCAAAGCTTATATATGGGACATACGAGCTTTCTTTGTCTTGTTGTTCTAAGCATGGCTTTTGGTTTTGCGTTTTCCGTATTGCGGGCTCCCAGTGATCAGGATTGCGCCCGACAGTTGTCCATGTGGTGTAAGTATTGATTCTTAACACAATTTGAATACTTGTTCATGGGTAGAATGAATAGCTGATGAGATTACGCAGCTCCTGTACTTGACGCTGTCGAGTATATACAGTACGACTTTGATGACGCTTTCAATTCAACGAGCATCTATCGTGGTCCCCCAACCCCGGAGAGAGAGCAGGCCTGGTTCGATCTGACGTACAGTAAGTATCTCCTTTCACTGATGTTCTTTTGAGTAACGAATTCATCAACTGATACGTCGAAAGAACATGCGGTTGAGATCCCACAGGACAAAATTTCCGGACTGAATCGATCTGAGGAGGATCATTTGGAGCGCGTTTCTGAAGAGGAGGGCAGTGGCTACGTCGCGCTCATTGAGGTATTCCACCAGCTACATTGCTTGGTGAGTATGACCTTGTCTCTTGACCCATTAAAGAAGAGGTAGCTAACATGCCTAACCTCGTTACAGAATATGGTCAGAATGTACACGTGGTTGCAGGCAGGCAAATACGACAAACCGCCTTTGGGGTTGGCATTTGACCCACTAAAGAACAGAATTCATGTTGATCATTGCATTGAAGCTCTACGGATTTCGCTCATGTGTTTCGCCGACGTCACTCCGTTATTTGTTCGCTTAGGTGGACCACTGGGTAAACGGGCAGATTTTGAAACGCATCACAAGTGCAGAAATTTTACTAAGATAGAGCAATGGATGGACGAAAACTGGACGGTAAGATAGTATTACCGGGCTACCGGCATACAATCTATCGAGTTTGCAAATAACTTTGAGCCTCACTATGGCCCTGTACACACTTCATATCTATTGATCGGGTGATTGGTCTAAGCATGGTACTGTTCTAGTTGTTTAGAGTTCGACAGCTACACGCCCGAAAGGTGCAAAATTACGTGGCGTCTCTGGTTGTCTCCAAATGTCTTTACGCAATTGGTGTCAGGGTGTTCTGGGCACAGCATGATCGTTTGATGCACAACAGGAGATAATGAGACAGATTCACTATTACTGAAGAAGCTTATACTTTGTCACACGGTTTCTTCTTTCTTTTTTCTGTCTACTGTTTCAAGATACATCATGACGCTTATGGTTTAATGAAAACTGCGTGCCAAAATATACGTAACTTACTGCGACTTAGTATCGTAAAGGCATTCATGAACAGGATTTACAAGTTTCAATAGGTTTCTCAGGAATGACCTCTCACATATCATCTTGTATGTTGCTCCATGTAACAACAACCCCATTTTCGTTGACCCAATCCAATAGTTTGTCAAACCTCCTACACTTATGGAATGCTCCAAAGTCCTCATCTAGACCTCTACCTCCCCCAGGTGAAGGCTCTTTTTGATATATAAGGAACGGAGTAACGTCGCTGTTACACGTGACTGCTTGTCGCAGCGTTTCGATACAATGATCTGCATGTTGTCTTGCGACTTCCGGCGAGTTATACTTCAGCAGAGTTGGCAACAGACCCTCGGGGTATGAATCCTTCCATGCGTATTGCCGCAATACATTGATGCAGTGGAGTTGATGAAAAACCTCAATCACGCCAACGTAGCCTGAAGTGGGAGAGCTTGTGGGTGCACGTAAGAATCCTTGTTCAACGCTTCTATTGAGCAACGGAACACGTTCGGGTGGTATTATGACGGAAGGCACTGTAATAATATTTCGTTATATTAGTCCCTCAGTACTGATTAATATCGAGTCTCGTGCAGTAATCATACCTTCGATTATTTTCTTCCATTTGGCTTCCAGTTCTACTGTAGGAGGACCAGTGTAGTCTGAGTTTTTTACTGCTGAGCCGCTCTCCCAGTTGTACTCTTCGTACTCGACGGCTTGAAGCAGCGGAGCTAGGAAGATTATTTAGTATCGAAGCGTATGAAAACCGACTTGGGTCCAGAAAACATGGGTAATACATACACCAGACGCTAAGCTTCGAAGCGCAGTACTTGTCTGATGGGACCCAACTTAGTGCAATTGTCATCATTATTGCCCCGCCAATGAACATAAGTAGGCACACAGAGTGCCATGCCACTGTAAGTACGTTGATGACACGGCTTGTAACCCAATACCTGGAAGAAATTGATGGCTCTATGTTTTCTGACTGTAATGAAGCCTCACTGCCATTCTCTAGTCGAGAATAGTGCTCCTTGTAGTTCATAATACTGAGCATTGCTGGTGGTTGAGATGATTGTGTAAGAAGGAGGAATTGAGGTGTAAGAAATTGGCAAAAGCTTTCTAACAAGTCATGACTGGTTTTTCCTTTGGGGGGGGCTATGAGTACATACAAATTCGACAAGATTCAATGTATCCCTAGCAAGCACCCCTGTAAAACTTTCAACCCGAGGATAATATGTTACCCCCTAACTTCTATCTAGTTTTTTCATACATAGAACTTTCACTATTAGATCCAGAGCTTAAAACGTGAAGAGCAAAAAGCTTCTAGAACATTTCTATAAAACTTGAAATCTTATACAAATTAATTTCAAGGTCACCTTAACGTCGCTTAGCCTAGTATACGTAATAAAGTTTATGAAAACTGCTACAGTCGATTAACTTAAACACCGGCTTTGCAGTAGTAGTAAACTATTATTTGTCAACCTAGTAGCTTCTAGAAAGCATTTTTGCTACTAGGTTCCTACTCCTCCACTAGCTAATACTATGTTAATACTACCTAGTGCCACTAGTGGCTAAACAATAACTTAGTAACAAGGTTCAAGTTTGTTAACTTAAATACCCCCCATTTACACTACCCCCTCATTTGCACTATAACCCCTACCTTCTTTTGTTAACAAAACTATATCTAGTTAAACCTGTGTATAATTAATTATACTCTAAGGATTCTTCTTTAGCGTAAGGAGAGTCGATTCCTAATATTACACTTTTAAAAGCCTATCTGTTCAAAGAATCAGGCATCAAGCCGCTATTTATTACTACAAGAGATTTAATAACTTAGGAGGTTAAATTCTAGATACACATTACTAAATACAAAATCAGTCAGGAACCCCTCTTGTTCTATCCATTACTACCTTATTTCTTATCATAGGTCAATTACCAGTTTATCACGATTACTGTCTTTAGATTCTTGGTCATGCATCTTGGTCCTATTCTTTTACAAATATAAAAAGCTGCGCACATGAGCTGTATCTCGCATAATCACTCCGATCAGACGGAGTCACTTACTGTCAAATCTCTGGAAAAGGAGGCCTCTCCAGGGCTAGTGACTTCAAAGGTGAAACGACGTTCATTTAGAAAGAGACTCAAGAAGCTGCTCCACAATATTGGATATCCGCCCACCTACAACTACGACCTTAAGAACGGCATCGAGACCCAGAAAACAGCTCCTGTAGGAATCATGGGGTCTAACATTCTGAACCAACCCTCACGCATATAAACCTTTTGTTGACATATTATGTCACATAACCGTACGACACCCAACAGGATAGATTTTATCTAGGACAAAGGGCACACAACGGGTATTCAGTCATTGGTTATCCTAAGGGCAGGGCCAATGTAAGCTGGGTCTAAATTCACTTGAGAATGAGACAAGAATATGTATCTCTCCGTCTAAGAGTTAAGTCTTGTAGTTAGAAGGATAATCACAAATAATACATTCTTGGTTGACTCTAACTTTATTACACTTAGTACTAAAGTAGATGGTTATAATCATCACTAACTAAGCTGCTCAATGCTGCCGTTGGTGACTTGGGTATATTTTGCTGGTACTTGGGTGCTTCCGGCTAAAACCTACAAACATCACTTTTTCGCAAGAAATGACAGACTCTCTACGCTTGCGCTGGCTCCACCCTCTATCTTTTCTACAGTACTCTTTTAAATATATCTAGGCAGGGAGCGCGACGCCTAGCACAAGGCACTCTCTTGCCACGATTTGCCCAAGACCCTTAGAACACCTAGCTAAATATTCTTATATACTTGGTGGAGAGTGTAATACGCCTTTATAACATATTTACTAAAACAGAATATTTATAGAACGACACTAAGTGTTGGAATAACAATATCACATGATCGTACGACGCCCATGGGACAATCGATTGTACGACAACCATGGAGTATTCACGACTCAGAATGGATTGTCATGATTCAATATCAAGGGCACAGACTGGATACTCGGCCCACGGTCAAAGACCATTAGGGAGGAATGACATCGCGTATAGCCGAATGACTCAAGGCGTACGAATGGGTATAAAACCCTTCGTACGACGACAAGTAGGATTAGCTCTTTAGTCACGAGAATATATGTTGATTCACCCCTACACTTATGTTTTGTTAGTACATCGATGTACGAAAGCCCATTTAACACTAAGTACTAATGTTAGCTGCTGCTACTTCACGTAATAATTAGTAAATACCTAGTGTTATATTCTCTTTACTTTTCTTCTTTAAGTTACTGTCCTTAAAACCTTTGTTTTAGCTGCCACAAGCGGCAAGCATGGCCCAGAAATCAGCCTCCGGCACCAAGAGCAAGAATTTGGATTGCTTCTCTATAGTTTAGACCTATAGTAACGAATACATACTGACTTTAACAGAGATAGTCAAGGGCCACGTTAGAGAGGGTTAGCTATTGACAGTTGCTTTTATAATGACGTTGACCTCTGCCTCTATAGTAACTTTGTTGTCGACGAAGGACCTATAGAGTCAGGGGAAGTCCTACGTTGACAGAGAAAGATATAAGGGGAAGCCAGTGAGGGCAGTATTATATATGGGAGGCTGTGTCTACTGAGGTTTTCTTTCTCTGGATCTGATGACCCCGAATCCGATGACTCCGAGTCCAACGACTCTGAACCTGCCGACCCTGGGTTTAATGATACCCGTCGAGGCTCGCTGAAAAGGCTTTCCAAAAAGCCTTTTTTGAAACGCGGTTTGTACAGTTCTATAAAGGAACTTTCTGCGTAGGCTCTTTCCAGTGGGTTCAGAATTGGATTTTTGAATTGAACTGCGACGCCCTTGGAGGATACGTTTTCCGCCTTTGCGATGCCCTTCAAAATGAACTGCTGGGCCTCGGGTCGCCGTCTTGCCAGCTGACGAGCAATTGTGCCGAGTAGCAAAGGTGCTGTGCTACAAGACGCCACGCCTCTTTTGAAGAAGAACGTAGCAGCGGGCAGCTTTTCGTCGTCGAAGTGCTTGGCAGATGTCCATGAGATGGTTGACTTTCCGGTACCGGCGGATCCGACAAGCCAGCACACACGTTGGTCTCTTCGGTCTTTCGTCCATGTTTCAATTTCCTTCAACAAGCTAACCCGTGTTTCCGGATGGCATTTGGGTTCGTGCTGATTGGAGTGGGAGTCATACTCAGCTTCCTCGACAACCAATGGTGTATTCCAACGGGTTAGACATGCTGGGTGTTGAGTCTCAAGGGGTAAAGCATGCTAACGATGAGGAAAGCGCAGTTGTGGCGGTCGGCTTGAACGACGTAGGGTATCACCCGGTTGACAAAAAAGATGGCACACCTAAAGTACTTTCTCACAGCACATCTGCCCCAAGACTATTAACAAGTGTTTTTTTCTTATACTAACACAGCCACAAGACGCAGTTAGGATATAGGAGAAGTATATTTAATAGTAGGCAGAGCATACTGACATTAATTCTGACTATTTTATATAGGTATATCTATGTATTTAGTGTTGTGCTGTTTATAATAGTGCAGGGAGTGTTTAGGTGTGCCATCTTTTTTGTCAACCGGGTGGGTATGTGAGAAGAGGGGAAAAGAAACAAAGAGGAGGAGAATCGGTGTTGAATGGGCTCTAACACGTCGCCGTGAAACAAGAATGGGAAAACAAAGGATACTAATATTCGTGGCTGACTTGGCTGTTGTATGACGTCTTGAGTAGTTCGTACAACTGAGTCCGAACTATCCGGATAGTGTTCTTTGTTTCTGCCCGAGGTCCGAGTATCCAATCTTTGTGGACCTCTTTTTCCAATTCATGAGTCGTAGTGACTGTGGTTTTGTCGTACTCGTCGTGCGATCATATAAGGTTGCTGTTCCAACAGTCGGCTTGATTATGCATCTCGTTTATCTGCCAGCCGTCAGCCGTCATCCAAGCTGGTACTGACGAAAGTAGCCAAAAGCCGTTGATGGATAGGCGCATATGTGCCGCAAATGGCATGTAGAGAAAATAGCCTGGCCACTTAGCCTGAATACTACCTATGTATAGTAGTAGACCAGGCTGCTAAGTCACTCCCTCCCCTGCGTGCTTTCAGCATGTTTTTGCTGTTTTTGTCATCCCAGGCAGGTTTCTGCCTACATCACACAATTCTCGGAGTGTCACGCAGAAAAGAGCGAGAGTGTTTGTGTAATATGAGATGTGTATGTGTAGAAAAAGTGCTTGTTGACACGGGGTTGCCAAGCCCCAGTTACGGCCCGGTAGCCTGCCAAATGCGATACCATACTGTCCCGAGCAGTTTCCGCCTACAGCTAACCGATAAATCCCAAAATGTCCCTTCCCACAACACTCGGAGTATCGGGCAGGAAGGAGAGAAAGAAATAGTTGTGCAGGGTGATGATGGTAAAGAGTGCTTGAGAGTACAGCGTTGGTTGCCAGGCCCCTCTTTCGACCCTGTTGACCACAGCGATTTATATGTCGACCTGTGTCGTGCCATCCGCCCCGGCCCAATCGTTACAAGGGCTGTGTCAAGAAAGTCAGGAAAGAATTTCTTCTTTTTGTGCGCTTCTCGGACGACTTACACAACTACACGAAATTGCCTTTGATGTTGCGGAACTTCTCCGTCGACTCCATGGCGGAGGCCGCGCGCTTGGCCTCTCTGTCAGCGAGTGTGTTCTGCTGGCGTGGGATCTTCCAGAAGCGGACGCTGACGCCGCAGTCGCGCAGCTCCTCGACGTCGAGGAGCAGCGCCTCCCAGAGGTCGCGGTTCTTGACGAGATCGCCGGTAGACAGCCGACAGTCATTCCTGGCCCAGTTGCGTGTCCAGCTCGTGGCGCCGTCGACAACGTAGCTCGAGTCCGTGGCGATGACGACGCTTCGGAAGCCCTCGTCGTGCCAAGCGCGAAAGCGCAGCGCCGCGATGACGGCGCGCAGCTCGGCGCGGTTGCTGGTGTGACGGTACTTTTGGCCGTCCGGGCCGCGGTCCGTCCTCGAGCTTGAAAGCGACGCTGCCGCTCTGCCCGTTGAGCCCGTTAGGCTTGAAGACAAATGCGCAGCCTCCGCGGGCGTCGGCGGCGCCGTTGTCGGAGCAGGCGCCGTCCGTGTAGATCAGAAACTCGGAGTCGTTGTAGCGGTTGATGAAGCGCTTAGAGAGGATGCTCTGCAGGGCGATATTAATGCCGGGGAAGAGCTCTTCGGGCGAGAGGGGCGTCATTCCCTGCTGGCTGAACTTGGAAGGGAACACCATGGTCGTTTCGGGGCGAGGGTTAGTAACAATGGTTTGGTAGAAGAAGTCTTGTCCGTGCAGGACGTCGGCATTGTCATCGCTGAAGTCGAGGCAGCACATGCCGCACGTCACAAGGTGGTGATGTGCGCAAACGGTGATAGTTCGCCCATTGGGCAGGTCAATGTAGTCGATCTCCGACAAGGGCATGTTGTGCAGCGATGGAATGAGATGGATAAAGGAGTTGGGTCGAAGAGGTGTTGAGTTAAGGGACGGCGGGAGGAGGTCTCTTTTTACGAGGCATGCAAACATATGTATGGGGTGCAAACAAATTGATACGTACCCCTCCCTGGGTGGTGTGAAACATGGCCATACTGCTTTTTTTCTATCTTTTTTTTTTGCAAATGTAATACGATACGCAACCGAAGCAGGGCGAAAGACAGCCTGCAATTTAATCTCTGGATTAAATTGTATTCTTTGGCAGCTTTGGGGCTTATCAGGTTTGCATTTTGGGATCCTTGAACTGCACCCCCTGGACTGGGCGACCGATCGTCGAAGGTCGTGTGAATAGCGTCAAATGGTGCCCTAGATGTCTGTAGACAAGTGGGGCAGGCAATCGAAAAAAGAAAAAGACAGTCGGTCATCCTGTACTTCTTTAAATCTTGTAATAATCAGTATTCCAACACCAAAGTAGATAAGAAACCAGTAAAAACAAATAAAATAACAAAAAAAAAGGATCTTTTTCTACGCCCTGTTCTTAAGTGTGGTTCGAACAGCGCGCCCCCAACAAGGCCCGGTGAGTTTTGTTTCGGGGGTATTGTGTTAAAGCTTTAACCGCTAGGCCACACACGCCATCATCGCGGACCGGTGACAGAGAGGACGGTGGAATGGATTAAATAGGCATCTTCGAAGCTGGGTGGCTGGGTGGCTGAGGCAGGGACAATAAGGTTGTCGTCACGGAAGGAACGACCACCGCGTCACGGAATGATATGGCCCCCACCGCCCAGGCAGCACAGGTACCCGCGTTCCGTAGCTCGCCAATGCTGCTCCTGAGCCTCTGTGATTGTGGACTCTGCAGAAGTGATAAACAGCCGTACGCAGACATGGAAACAGGCATAGGGGGCCTTCTCACCAGTCTTCTGTTGTTGAAGATACCGTCCAGCAGCCGACATCGATGCTCGCAGGCAAACTAAAGTGATATTGTCCACCCGGGAAGTCGTCGGTGGTGGGGTATCTATCTAACATACTTGCTCATGAATCGTTTGTGGAAGTCGGAACGCAAGAGATCCTGGACGTCAGAGTCAGCATAACCATTCCGCGCCAGCCCTTCACGTTTGGGAGGGCAGTGTAACTTACGTTGATGAATTCCTTGCTCTTCCCCTTTTCCTCCGTGCCCCTCGCCTGGTTCTTGAAAACGACGTCATCGTCCCACCGCCGCTTCATGTTGAAGTCGGGCTTGTTCAGCAGCGGGTTGCCCAGCGCGATGTCCCTCTCCCTAGCCTCCTCCTCGGCCTTGGCCCTCTCCCGCTCCTCGCGCTCCCTCTTCTCCGCCCTCTCTCGCCGGATCTTCTCCATCTCGCGTTGCAGCTCCGCCTCCTCGTCGTCGCTGTCGTCGTCGCTGTCATCGTCGTCGTCCTCTTCTTCCTCCTCGTCCGAGGATGCGTCGATGTCCCGCGACTCTTCTAGTATCCTCCTCCGTTTTGCTTCGAAGTCTTCTTCGCCGTCTGCTTGCGACCCGGCCTCGAGGGCGCGCTTCACGCCGCCGGCGGGTGCGTCGGTGTCGTCGTTTGCGGAAGGGGGGGGCGCGCCGCCGTTCTTCTTGGCGAAGTGGGCAGCCTCGGCTGCGAGGAGCTCAGCACGGAGGTCGCGGGCCTCATCATCGGCGTCGCCGCCCTGGCCGGCCTGGCGGAACTTGAGCTGGGTGTGTGCCGGCAGGAGGCGTTGGTGGTATGCCGGACCGCGGAGTGCTTCCTTGCCTCGGGCCTAGAGCTTGTTAGCGAGCTGCGACAAAAACCGAAAAGGACTTCCGTACCGGATCGAACGTGGGACGGTGAGCGGTAGTCATCCTGGCGGTTTGCGATGGTGTGCAGGAAGAAAGAGGTCGGCGTCTGAAGGGTTTGAAGTCAAGTCGCCGCGGATTGACGTTCGTTTGTTCCCCTGCAAATGCACGCGCAGCCGGCGGCCGGGTGGGTCTCGGCTGCTGCAGGGCAGGGAGGCAAGCAATTAAAGCTTTCACCGCCCGGCAGAATATTTGCAGCGCCCCACCAATGCGATTGACCTCACTAAAGACCTAAAGGTCACTCACTGACAGATTCTCATGAGGCTCCTAGGTTGAAGGTCACTTTTTTTCCCGCCCGATCCGCCGCAAACATGCCCAGAGAAGCCGAGCCGTCAGCAAATGAGAAGGCCTTTGTCACACAAGCTCTCAAGGACAACTTGAGGCTTGACGGCCGGGAATTCGACCAGTATCGAAAAGCCCAGCTCACTTTCGGCGATGAGTTCGGAGTCGCCAATGTCGAACTCGGCAAGACAAGGTCAGAATACGACATCAATTCATGCTTTCTGGGTCACTAGTGCTAAAACGCCTCACAGGGTTCTCGCCAAGGTCTCGGCAGAAGTCACGGTGCCCTACACAGACCGCCCCTTCGAGGGCATCTTCCAAATCACCTCCGAGCTGAGCCCCATGGCCTCGCCCGCCTTCGAGGTCAACCGTCCGACTGAGGCCGAGGTGCTCCTCTCGCGCATCCTCGAGAAGACGATCCGACGCTCGGGCGCCCTCGACACCGAGTCTCTCTGCCTCATCGCCGGTCAGAAGGTCTGGTCCGTCCGCGCCGACGTCCACGTCCTCTCCCACGACGGGAACCTCACCGACGCGGCCTGCCTCGCCGTCATCGCCGCCCTGCGTCACTTCCGCAAGCCCGACACCTCCAACGAGGGCCAGTCCCTCACCATCTTCACCCCTGCCGAGCGCGAGCCCGTACCCCTGAGCTGGCTGCACAGCCCCTTCTGCGTGACCTTCAGCTTCTTCGGCGACGAGGGCGAGATCACGCTCGTCGATGCGAACTGGATCGAGGAGCAGCTGCGCACCAGCAGCATGACGGTCAGCCTGAACAAGCACGGCGAGATCAGCCAGATTTCCAAACTAGGAGGCACACCTATCGAGGCGGTGACGCTGCTGCACTGCGGGAATGTAGCGTTACAAAAGTCTAAGGACTTCTCGACACTGGTGGACGAGAAGCTGGCGGATGACGCCAAGAGGAGAGACAAGGGTGGTCTCATATCAGAGCTCTTGTCCGCGGAGAACGACCGGGTAGTGGATGCATAGACGGAGACGGAAAAGTCCAAGATGCGAAGAAAAGAAATTTGTAAAAATGATACCCAGCCATATACGCTTCGAAAGATCCAATGCCTGCAACAGTGAGAGCCGCTCTCTCGGGGCGGACGAACTCGTTCCCGTCAGGCCCTTCAACTCCAGCAACGCCAGTCTAGATGGTTTCCATCTCCTGTGAAAATCATGCCTCGTAAACAACAGTCCATCGCTGATGACTACCGCATCACCGGCGGCCGCGATTCCTTGTTCCATTTCACTCTTGATCTCACCCACTCCACCGCCTCCTTGACGCCCGTCCCCGTCAGCGCGCTGACAGGTAGCACCCTCGAGTCGCGGATGCTGCTCGCTTTCTCGCCCTCAAACACCTTCTTCACAAGCCCCTCCTTGATCCTCACGACTTCGACGCAGTCCTCGCGGTCCTGCTTGTTGGCCAGCACCAGCACCGGCACGCCCTCGGTCTCGGAGTGCTGCAGCACGTCTTCGAGCACGAGGCGGCACTCTTCGAGGCGCCCCGAGCTGTTGTTCTCCAGGGTCCCGTTGCCAATGTCGGTCGAATCGATGATGAACACGATGGCGTGCGCCGAGGAGTAGTAGCTCTGCCACAGCCGACGCAGCGAGTGCTGGCCGCCCACGTCCCAGATCTTGAGGTACATGTCCGGCAGGGTGATGGTCGAGACGTTCTGTCCCACCGTCGGTACCGTCTTGAGCTTCGGATCGGGGTTTCCGGGGAGGAAGAGAGACTTGACCTGTTCGTGGAAGGTGGTCTTGCCGGCATTGTCGAGGCCGAGGAGGATGACGGAGTACTCTGCGACAGGGAGGGAGAGGTCAGCTAGGGCGACAACGGGTGCGGGCTGCTGTGATCCATGTGCGCGAACCTTCTTTGCTGGTGGCCAGAAGGTAGAGGCCCTTTGCGAGGTGATACATGGCGGGCAAATATGGCTCTCGAGCAGGCCGGCTGCGATGCACGGGGTGGGTGAGAGTGGTAGGGCGGCCGTTGACGCGGCGGGATGGGTGGAGGGTTCGGTCGGCGCAATTGGCGGGATGTGGATGGATGATCGAAGTGCGACGGGACCAGGTGTGGAAGCTTGTGCCAGCTTGTGCTGGTTCTGCGGCACTGACACGCTGTCCAGTGCTGTGGTGGTGGGGGGAGGGAGCTACAGGGGTTTCAGGGGGTCTCCTGTGAGCGGCTGTTCAGCCCTATGTTACTGTCCGTTGCACCACGGCCCAGCACATGTGTCGTCTGGAGACTGGGGGATACGGCATCTCATCTCAACAACCTGCCATATGAATTATATGATTATATTCGACTCGGAATAATGGTTTCGGGAGTATGGTATGAGAAATCATCAAAAGTGCATGAACATGAACGGCATATCGCATCTCGAGGCAAGGTAGGCCAACTCTATTCATCCAGGTCTAAATTCTTCCATGTCTAGATAAGTCGTCACCCAACACACTCCTGATGTGTTACTTACATCTTGGGGATCACGGTCGCGTAACCATCAGCCACGGCAGTCAGAAGCCGGTTAGCGATGGCCGTAGGAGGGGGCAGACGGAGGCCACCCTCCTTGTACCCCTCCGGGGCAGGCTCACCAAGGCCACTGACGCCATACTTGAGCGCATCCCGGAGGACCTCGAGAGGGTACCACTGCGCATCCTCCAGCTCGGGGTCGTTGCCAAGATCGATCGTCTCGCCGTCGGGTAGAGCCTGGGCAATAGCACCGATCATCAAGCTCGCAGGGTAGGGCCACGGCTGGCTCGAGTGGATGACCACACGCCCGACCCTCACGCCGCTCTCCTCAAAGACTTCACGGCGCACAGACTCTTCGATGGACTCACCGGGCTCGATGAAGCCTGCGAGGGTGCTGTACCAGTTAGGAGGATACCTCTTGTTGCGGCCCAGGAGCACCTTCTGGCCGTCAGAGGAGATGACTGCGGCGATCATGGTGGGATCGGTCCTCGGGAAGCTGATGTTGGAAACGCCCTTCCGAGTGGCGCATTCGGCCCGTTCGCGGGGAGTGTCCGAGCCGGCAAGGTCGGTGGGAGGGCACAGCCGCTTGTAGCCAGCATTACCGGACAGGGACGGCTGTCCACAGCCAGCACAGAACTTGTGGCGGGTGTTCCAGTCTGTAATGGAGCGGGCCTGGGCATAAATTCCAGCTGGTGCGTGCGTCAGCCACCGAGAAAGCGGGTGATTCAAGAGAAAACCTTACCCGCGTCCGGCTCGAGTGTCATGGGCCTCATGCCTTCGAGGAACTTGTAGCCTTTGCTGGCCTGCGCCTCGATAAGCTGGTTGGCGGCATCGGCATACGAGCCCCTGGGCGTCACATCCACAGCAAACCAGGGCCGGCCCTTGAGCTCTTTGTACCCAAAGGACACATCTGCGCTCTCCTCGAGGCCTAGGAAGACGATGAGCGGTTTAGTGACTGTCGAGTCAAAGTTCTTGATGAGGTCCTCCTCGGAGGGGCCGAACGGGTCCTCGGTGGTCAGGGGCTTGACATCGTCAAAAGACACAAACTGGACTTTTGTGGGCGCGTTGGTGAGGGGGCTGAGGTCCTTGAGGAGCATGAACTTTGCCTCCTTGAACTGGAAGGCGGCCCTGAGGAAGGTGTGGTCAGTACGCAGCCAGCCCACACGGTTAAGGACGCTGCCGGCGAAGTAGTTGACGGTCTCCCGTCCGAACTTGCGGGACAGCATGGAGTCGGGGTCGTCGACTGGTGCGGGGAGGTTCCAAGCTTGAGAACCCATGCCGAGGTTCGGGGGGTGGTGACGGTGAAGCTATCGCGGGATTTCCGGGTATCGGTCTGGCGATCGACGTCGACGCGCAGGATATCCGGCGATGGGTTGAACCTGAGGAAAAGTGATCCCAAAAATATTAGAACAATGCAAACAAGGGGATGGTTTGCAGCGTCCAAAAGTGGTGGGATATCAAGAGACGTGCAGCGGTGGTGGGCTCAAACGGCTGATTAATCAGTTTATCGACGGACAGGACAGGAATAATGAGAGATGGGGGAGTTACCGAGCGACCCGTTGCGATGGAGCCGTTACGGTGAATCACTAATCGCCGCCGTCCCAATAAATGGAGCTCCCGGCAGATCCCACCTTGTCACAGAAAAGTGTGCGGGACGCTTGACACCCAAAATGGACTTGTCATTGAATGGCCAGGTATTGTCGCGGAGTTCGGGGCTAAGTGGTGGCCCAATAAACGCGCTAGATGGTAGAGCTACATTGCGTCTGTAATCTGTCCTTCGAAGATTAGACGAAGGGTAAAAGTATTTGTACCTATATAGATTCGAGCCGAGGGTTGACAGTGGATGTCAGGTAGACAGAGGGTCTTCGCGGCCGATCTCCAAATTGCCCATCCGCCGGCCCCTTTCAATGCCAGAGATAATTAAATGAGGACCAACCCCATCGAGGATGCGAAATAATGCATGGCAGAGCCCAAATGGCGAGTGTTAATGCGGCATCTCGGATTGAGTAGGATCAGAGAGCATGCACAATTCCACCTAGGAATAAGCTTATCCACTCACTCACTCTACTCGATCCTCCAGAATCACCAAGGTGCAGGCATGGGGGGTACAGAAGGAGAGCTTAGTCATATGAACATTCTTAGTGTGCAAAAGGTACGTAAGACTGAGCTGGGTGCGCCAAAACTCTGCATATACGTACCTAGGTTCCTACATTACAGTACCTAGGTAGTGTACGCAGTAGGTATGTGGGCACCTGACCTACCACTGTAAAAAGTAGATGTGCCAGCGCACCCTAGTCCCACTCCCCCGCATTTTGCTCTTTTTCCGGCGGCGGCAGTGACGTCGTGGCATTTCGGGTCCTCGCTAAAGATCCTAGCCAAGGGCCTCGCTTCCACTGGGTGAGAGGGAGCCTGGCACCCCTCAAAGAAACTTGCAAGCGCACGTGGGACCCTGATGGTGTGTGTCCGCCCCCAGCCAAGCAGAAGCGGAAGCGGACGCGGGAATGCGCGAAATGGCGACCATCTTTGCGAAATGCTAATGTCTTTGCCGATGCGAAGAAAAAAAAAAAGTCTTCCCACTCTTCATCGTCAGACCCTGGAAGGACAATTCTACCTTCTCCTTTTTTTCCTTCTTTCTCTAGCCATTGCCGCCTTAGAAATTGAAAAGGCCTCTGGTTTTGGTTTTTTTTCTTTGTAGGCATCACTGTCCATAATCTACGCTTCTTTTACTGCCGAATTTCTTTTTCCCCTCCAAGAGCTTCGTTCCCCCTTTGTTAATCCCTTCGTTGCATTCTCCTGTGTCCGAAGCCGCGTCATGGCTCCCCCTACCGCACCCCTCAACCTCGACGTTGAGGCCATATCTGGCATTTGCGGGTAAGGGCGCTCTGCTGCCCCTCATGAGATTGTAATCACTCCAGTACTGACCCGATGCGCCTAGTTCCATCTCAATTGCCTGCTGGGTCGTTGTCTTCTCGCCCCAGATCCTCGAAAACTTCCGTCGAGGCAGCGCCGATGGCCTTTCGCTGCAGTTCATCATTGTCTGGCTGGCGGGCGATGTCTTCAACATTTTGGGCGCTGTCCTTCAGGGCGTCCTTCCTACCATGGTGAGTCAGAGCTAGCCCTTGCAAACATGTTGCTTCCGCCTTACTGCATCGAGAACCCCTGGCTAACGCTATGACTCCGCTACCCCTAGATCATTCTCGCCATCTACTATACCATCGCCGATATGGTGCTCCTAGGACAGTGCTTCTACTACCGGGGGTTCACTTGGAGGGACGAAGTCGTCCCGCCAACCCCGAAGCCGCGTAACCGCACCGGCGAACCGAACGAGCGGACCGGCCTCCTCCCCTCGGCCCTCATCGACCGCGAGCGCCGAGGCTCGGATTGGTCCAGCCTCTCACCCGCCGCGCCAATGCGTCCCGAGAGCGTGCCCGCCCCTCCCCCGAGACCGACGACGACGATACAGGCACTCCTGTGGAATACCACCGCCGTTCTCATGGTCTGCGCCGCCGGCGTTGTCGGCTGGTTCCTCAGCCGCGAGTACTCACGCCCCGACGAGCCCGGCCACGAGACCCACGACAACGACGCCCTGACTTTCAACACCCTGGGCCAGGTCTTTGGCTGGCTCTGCGCCGTCTTCTACCTCGGCTCTCGCCTGCCGCAGCTCCTCCTCAATTACCGCCGCAAATCCACCGAAGGCGTCAGCATGCTCTTTTTCCTGTTCGCATGTCTCGGCAACTTGACCTACGTGCTCAGCATCTTCGCCTTCGAGCCCCGCTGCAAGCACGACGAGTGCGCTCCCGGCGAGGCGGGCGCCATCTACGGCCGCTACATCCTGGTCAACCTGAGCTGGCTGGCGGGAAGCTTGGGTACCCTGCTGCTCGACATGGGCATCTTTGTGCAGTACTTCATGTACCGCACCGACGAGTTCGCGACTGAGGATGAGGAGGATGATGACCAGAGCATCGACGAAGATCAGTGGGATCAGCGTCCTCTGCTCGCGCGTGGTGATTCCATCCACCACCCTTGAGGGGCGGTACAACCCCCCTCCCCACTGCTTAATTGTAAAGGACTGTATTTGCGAATGTGTTTTCGGGCGTACGCGATGCACGGCAAAAGTGCTGGTGGACATTATTTGATATTAAAAGTATTTATTGCATTGCAGGTCTTTGGTTGCTGGGTTTAAAAGTACATTGCCATCGGAAAATCAGGAAAATCAAAAAGGCACAGGCTTGGAGAAGTAGATCATCTGACGTAGATGATATGATAATCTAGAAGAATCAATTATTTCTTCAATCGGTTCCCAGCCATTGACCTCTACCTCACTCTCTTCCACGCAAAGCTGGCTCCCCCCATGAGAGCAGTAACGCCCGTGAACACAATCAACGTCCCGTAGCCGCTGCCATACCCGAACCCGGCCTCCCCCTTCCACGGGGCGCCCTTGATCAGGGCCTCGCTCAGGGGGCCCGAGATGACGTTCCCGACCCCCCGCCCCGCAGCCAGCATGCCAAACACCATGCTCGGATCGACGCCGCGCTCCCGCTCCCGCTCGTGCTCCACCACGGCCTTCATGATACCCGGCCACGCCGACGTGTACGCCCCGGCAAACAGCCCGTACACGACGCAGAAGACGTAGAGTACGCCGAGGTTCGACGAGAACCCCCACGCGAGGAATGTGCCGGCGGTCGCTCCCGCGCTGGCGAGCATCAGACACGAGGGTGCCGAGAAGCGGTCCACGAGGGACCCCATGACGATGCAGCCGAAGACGGAGGCGACATTGACGAGCATGATGGTCAAGGCCGACGCGTAGGCCGACGCGCCGAGGACGGACTACGCGTACGAGGGCAGGTAGATGCCCGGCAGGAAGAAGCCGAGCGCCTCGACGATGCTGGCGACCTGGTACAGCGCGAAGGGGCGGCACAGCATGAAGCGCAGGTTGCTGAACGGGCGCGCGTGCGTCGCCTGGGAGACGGGCAGTCTCGGCTTGATGAAGAAGGCCAGCGGCGCCGTGAGGGCGAAGAGCAGGCCGGACCACAGGCGGAGGGTCGTGCGGAAGCCCACGTGGCCGAGGAGGTACTCCATCAACAGCGGGAGCACGACGCCGGCGAGGCCCGTTCCGGACCACATTATGCCGTAAGCAAAGCCCTTTCGCCGGACAAACCACTCATCGATGTAGAGGATGCAGGGGCAGTAGGCGACGGCGCCGCCGATGCCGTAAAAGACGCCCTGGGTGACGATGAGGTGGGTAACGGTGCGGGAGAAGGAAGACGCGGCGAGGGCGACGCACATGACGACCAGGCCGAGGATCGGCGCGTGGCGGGACTCGCGGGGGAAGAGGCGGAGGAGGCCGATCACGACGGGGCCGGAGAGGTACATGATGCCCTGGGGTTGTTGTCAGTATACAGCGTCCCGCCCAGCAATGAGACGTCTCATAAGGGACAGCGACCGGGTACTCACCATGGCACAGGTGCCGATGACGGCAATGTTGGGCTGCCCCGCGAACGGCGGGTTCGTCGAGTAGTGGTTCTGGAAGACGCCAAAGGCGAAGGGGAAGCCCCAGACGAGCATCTCGATGGCGAAGCAGGCGGCGAGGAAGAGCCAGGCCTGCCTGCCGCCGTCGACGGGCGGGAGCGAGGGGAACTCTTGGCCTTCGTCGTGCGAGTCGCGGACGCCGCTGATGGTACCGGTACCGGACTCAGCCGCCGAGTGCGGGCCACGGAGGGGCGGGGCCGAGATCGGGACCTGCGCGGTGCGCGGGGTGAGGTACTGGAGCTCCGTCTGCGAGGACATGGTTGCGTTTTCCGGTTTTTCCCCCCAAGTTTTGTGTTTGGAAAATTTACCGTCTCTGCCTGGTAGCCCTCCAAACTCGTTGTTTCCGACCTCTCAAGTGACAAACATTATGTTTCGGCGGGCAGCATGGCGGCTTTAAAGCGAACGGGCCGGCCGGCCTAGCTAATTTCGACGCCGCGGCGCGAACCCACAATACGCCCTCCGCTTGATTTGTTGACAGGGGTCGATCAGCGGTCTGTTTGAAGGAGGGCGTGGGCTTGTAGCATTAGGTATCCGTAGGTACAACAGCGGAGAATCAAGGGTCCAATAGGATCCCGGGGCGCGTTTGTTTTGGGATTGATCGACCGAGGTTTCCACCAAGCACCCGGACGTCCACAGTCGTTGCTATGTACCTCTAATTGGACTACCGACATATCATATAGCAACTACCCATTGATCCATAGTGTTTCGCTTCTCTGGGTGTCTGGCAAAATAAATTGCACACTTTGTTAGCTGCTTTAGAGGCCTGGGGGTAAAAGTTACAGCAAGAAACTATGAACAAGTGGGTAGATCAAGTGCCCTAGCGACTTTATAAGACTATTTCAAGAGAGGGCAAAATGACACAGTACTGATAGATATCGTTATAAGAATTCAAAATCGCTTATTTGTATGGCAATATTTGCACTTTTATGCTTCTATTCATAGGGGTAGGGAAAGGGAGCATTTGGTGTGGGTGGGCTAAAGTGTGCACTCTTTCTTGCAACCCTGGTGGTGTCTGGCAACAGATTCTGGCGACTGGCAGAGGCTCCTAGGATGCCAGAATGTATAACAAAAGGCTGGCAATACGCACGGTTTATACCTGATTCAGTCTGTCTCAGCCACTGATTCGGAAAGGAACATTGCATGATCTGAGAAGCAAACAGATGCAGCAGCGAAATCACAGCTCAAAGAGATTCAAAGAGGTTTGACAGCTTAGAAAAACGTTCCAAAGGGTTTCCGGGCAGTTCCTTTTTGCACTGCTGAATAGGCGACCGGCAACGAGAAGATCAGGGCCTGGATAAGACCCATCAACCATCACCCGTCGTCTGCTCAGTCTGATCAACCGAGAGTGATGATAGCTCCTCCTCATACCATTCTCCACGGCCCGAACAACCAGCGCAATGGGGGATGACGGTAGCGGGTCATCTCGCACTGGTGCCCGGTCAGAGCTGCACGGCACCGACATTCAACACTCAGGCTCCGGCAATTTCAGCGCTCACAACATCTACATTGGTAGGGCCCCTCATACGCATCACGAAGCCGTGCTGACCCAAGAGACAGGAGCAACACCCGGCGCCGACGCCGATTTCCTTAGGGATCTACGAGTGACCGACCCGCGTGATGACAAGACGCCAACAGCTGGGACGCCCTGTCGAAAATGCTATTTAGCGTCTTGGAAGAGCCGAGCCTGCAGAAGACGTATCTGGTCATCGACGCGCTCGACGAATGCGAAAGGAACCGCAATCAGCTTCTATACCTGATCGTCCAAGCGTCATCGTCGTCACGCGCGAGGCTGGTTGTGTCTAGCCGCAACTGGCCAGACATTGCGGATGCCTTGGCCGATGCTACGCGTAAGATTCGGCTCTGCTTAGAGCTGAACGAAGAGTCCATCTCAGTCGCCGTCGGTAATTACACACGGTATAAGGTGGATCAGCTGGTGCGGTCAAAGAAATACGACTGTGAAACACGAGATGCTGTCCAGCAGCACTTGACGTCGAACGCAAACGACACGTTCCTATGGGTAGCATTGGTCTGCCAAGAGCTTGCAGATCCGAAGGTCCGGAGATGGCACACCCGCGGCAAGCTGCTCTCGTTCCCACCTGGGCTCGATGCACTATATAAACGCATGATGGACCGCGTTTTCAACTCGGACGATGTCGATATCTGCAGAGAGGTGCTCCGCCTCGTGTCGGTTACCCACCGCCCGCTCCGCCTGGTGGAACTAGCCTCTCTTGCCGACTCTCTAGAGGACTATGCTGAAGATGCCGTCTCCCTGGAGGAGATTGTCGCTACCTGTGGGCCTTTGCTGACTCTCCGGAATGGGGTTGTCTACTTTGTGCATCAGTCGGCCAAAGACTTTCTGCTCAAGAACGAATCCAGGATATACCCAGATGGCGTTGCACGAGAACACCGTACTATCGCCTTGAAATCTATTCATGTTATGTCGAGAACACTTCGACGTGACATATACAACCTGCGCGCCCCAGATTTTCCCATCCAACAAGTCAAACCACTCGACCCGGATCTACTCGCACCAGCTCGGTATTCATGCGTCTACTGGGTCTACCACCTGGCGGACGGGGCCCTTTACGGACAAGAACAGGACATCGGACTAGTTTATGCTTTTATGAAACAGCACTATCTTCACTGGCTGGAAGCACTCAGCCTTCTGGATAGCATGTCTGAGGGTATCCTCCAGATGTCCAAGTTGGCAAATCTACCCGAGGTTCGTCTGAGTAGATATCGCAAGCTACATTACAGTGTGTACTGACACTGAGTAGGCGTCGGTAGACTTACACAAGCTTGCTTGGGATAGACTCCGGTTTATTCGGGCGCATAAAACAAGCATCGCGAACTATCCCCTTCAGGTGTATGCCTCCGCACTTATCTTCACACCCAGGCGTAGCATCGTCAGGCAGCTGTTTCGTCACGAGGAGCCTGCATGGTTGGTGACGAAGCCAGATATGGAAGATGAGTGGAATTCCTGCCTTCAGACACTCGAGGGCCATGCCGATGCCGTCACTCCAGTAGCCTTCTCAGGCAATAGAAAGCAGCTAGCTTCAGCATCAGACGACTGCACTATTAAGCTCTGGGACCTTACGGCAGGTCAGTATCTTCAGACACTTGAGGGCTATAGTGATGAAGTCACATCGTGGGACACCACTATAAAGGTCTGGGATGCAACAGGCCAGTGTCTTCAGACACTTGAGGGCCGTAGTGATGGAGTCACCTCAGTTGTCTTCTCAAGTGATGGTATGCGACTGGCTTCTGCATCGTGGGACACTATAAAGATATGGGATGTCGCAACCGGTCAGTGTCTCCAGATAGTGGAATGGCCGACTAGGGTTTGCGGTATGTTTCTTTCAGCCACTGGTGCACAACTCCGTGTTGGAGAATAGGTCATCGACCTGGAAAGTCCATATACCACAAGCAGCACGCAACAACCACTGCCGGTCGCTGCGGGCGATGCGCCTCGACTTCATAGCTACAGGATCCGCGATGATCAAGTGTGGATTACAAGAAACTCTGTGGGTCTACTTTGGCTACCACCAGAGTACCGTTCTCCGGAACGGGCTGTGGCAGGGTCTACGGTGGCCATCGGCTATGAGTCAGGTCGGGTATTGTTCTTTTGTTTCGCCGAGAGCGAGCTGGGTGTTTAGTAATATCCCCCTGTTGGCATTTCCTACAAGTTGACTATGAAATCCACGGCAGCTTGTTGGCATTTCAACTTATCGAGGTGCAACAATAATCCAAGGGCCACTTTGATTTCTCCCCATCCCTTCACATGCCTTATGCTCTCAAAAGAGGCATCTGTAGTTTGACCGCCTCATAGATGTTGGCGTCTTTGGCGAAGAGCCCGAGTCGACTTCCTGGGGGGTGGGAACGGTGCTTGATTCCGTTCCGTGGAAGGTCGCAGCAGCCCGAACCTTTCGATGGCGCAGGTAACGACGAGACCGGCAGGCTGTGCACATTCAGCGTTACGAGCTTTGTCATAGGCTTTTTAACTGGGATGCGGCCCATGTCAAAAGATCAGCTCACAAAAGAGTCCTGGCCTTCGACATGACGCTATTTTGAGTATCGCCTTTGAATATGCCGGCGGAGGGTATACGGAAGCTGACTGTTGTTGTGGCTTATGGTTTCACTAATATCAACGAGTCGTGTTAAACGGGACGGGCCAGGACCGAGGCACAGCCAGTGCTGGAAGGAAATAGAAGAAGATGACATTGAGATCAATCAGAAGTTTCAGTTATTTTGGGGAATCTTGGAAATACGGCAGGTATATGTATATTCAAGTGACAAAAGTGAAGGCGTCCGGTGCGCGGCTCTACGCAGCTATTGTCTCATTGATAGGGGATCGCTGACTGGCACTCGTTCTTGTTTACCGCCTCCCCGCTCACAAGGCTATCATAAGAAGGTAAAGTTAGATGCAGATGCAATATCCCAAGTCACGAGCAGCTGTCATATTTCCAGGGTTTCAGCCTTTTCGGAGCCAAATTCAAGACGCCGATAGCTCTTCAGCGCTCTCGCAGCTTGCCCTGTGCCATTGGGCCCCCCCATCCGAAGTGTCACTGTTTCGAATTGAATCGCGGAGCCCTATACTCCCAGCAAACCTAAACCTACCGAATACCTTGCCCTCCCAAGGCATATTAAAACATGCCGCTACGACTCTAGCACATTGTCCATCTATAGTCAAGCCCGTCAACGCCAACTTGGACTGAACGAGCAAGGAAATCGAGGCTTCTGGGGTTGAGATCCTGGCACACCCCGTTATAGCATCCGCAATACGACGCCGGATCGTTGCTCCGGGCTCGGCGCAGCTGATGAGACAGGCGGTGCTTATTGCGCCGGGGGGGGGGGTGGGGGAGGTGACGTTCATCTACTGGCAACGAGTCGGCGTCGCTCGATCGGGGCCCCTCGGGATGCTAGAAAGCCAGCGGCATCTACAGTTCCAGGGTATCTCGAAGAAATCTAGAAGAAACCGGCTTGCCCTGCAATAATAGTTCGCGCCAGCCCCCCAGCGAGGCATCTAGCCTCGCGGAACATCGGCTCATCTTAATACTGTCGCATAAACTCAGATAGGGCCCAGACTCCAAAGGGCAAAACCATCCTGATGCCATCTCAAGGGTAGGTAGAAGCGATGTAGGGCCAGCAACAAGCTTTCCCGTGCAGACCCTCCCAGCAGCTTGTCATACCGATGCATACCGCAATCGCTGAGGTCATTCTACCCCCCGCCGCGACCAGGGATCACCCCCATTCATTCGACTGCTGTGCACCACCACGAGATCAAGCTCAGGCCCTGTCTCAGCGCAGTCCTGGAAAGGATATCCCGAGCTCGCATCACGCTATCAGCCGGTGAGTCCTCACCGCGGGGTGACTTTTGCGTGCTTATGATGCGTGTATCTGTACACATTGGTTCCTGTGTACTCCGTAGTCAAAGAAAAATGGACGTTCCACATATTCTATACTGTAGCTGGACTCTTCCCAACCCTCCAAAACACACCGAACCGGCGAGTCGCCCGACGGAAGCCTCGCCCATTCTTGCATCGTTCTCTCGCATTCCATATGTCCACCCCGATGTACGTGTACCTACGTACGGGGGACTATTGACTTACATCATGTGTCGTATACTACCTAGGTAGGCGGTACAAGGAGAACGCGCCGGAAATAAAAGAAAAGAAGACAAGAGAAACGGTCAACCCGGCGCAGGACGCATGCCGCCAGCCCACGGTCGCCCCTCTGGCCCGGCCTCGAATCACCGTCTCCTGCCCTTTTTTCCCCCATCATGCGAAGGGGTGGTGGCCCCGGACCTCGGGGGAGGGCCACGCACCTCAAACTTGGTTTCCCAAATCTTCTTCCATGCTTTCCTGCCCGTTTCCTACCACCTTCTTCTGATAAGAGTAATTGATCGCTGTCTCGCACGTCCTCTTGTAACGCCCCGGTCGCCGCCTCGGTTTTGCCTGGATATTTTCCTTCTTTTTTGGCCTCCCAGCATATCGAACAACCTCACTTACACACATACACATATACACACTTTCATCATCATCATCATCATCATCATCATCATCACTCTCGTTTCTCGAACCACTGGCCGGAGTCGGGTCCGAGACACCACAAGATACACTTATACACCCGCGGACGGAGGACGTTGCGCTTTAATAAAGAAGAAGATAACGCCGCGAAGCTTTCGCCAATAATACGTAATCCCGGAACGACAAGATGTCGGCCCAGAAGATCCAGTACAATCAGATGCCAAGCGAGCCTGCCCCAGCCGTGCTCCCGGAACAGAAATTGAGCGCAGAGCAACCTGTGAGTTCCCAAGCAACAACCATCTCCAACTGTCGAGACGACGGCGCACTCTGTCCCATATCGAGTTGTTCCCCCTTTCCGTCCGCCCGTGGGCAACTGCACTCCGGCATGTCCATGATCATTCGAGCCCGAGCTAACCGGCAACGGTGTGCAGCGCCCGTACCAGCCCATGACGATGGACCAAACAACCCACCTTCGAGGAGGTGAGGCCGGAGTAAGTAGACACCCCACCCCTCCTAGTAAAGCCCTCAAACATCGCCCCCTCCCTTCAGCCTTGATTCCCCCTCACGCCTGCGCAAAAAGAACCACATCCATCTCTGGCCAAGCACGATAGCTAACAGCCGACCCCCCTCTGTATCAAGGCCCTCTGCTGCGGGCTCTGCGCCGGCCTCTGCTGCTACGAGTGCCTCGAGTGCTGCTGCTGCTGCTGCTAGTTCCCCTCTCCAATTCGTCACGTTCAAGATTGTTGTCGGAACCGAGGGGAGTCAGGAAACCCATGTCCTCGAGTAAACGGGTCGAAGCTACTACCTCCGAAACGAGATGCGAAGGTGGGATCGAGCCCGAGAAGTCCCCGCCGTCGCCGGTACGCGCCCACGGTGCGGGAGGTGGTCGATACGGGGAGGGGCGGGTTACGGTAAAGAGGGAAACAAGGCGTATACCACATCATATATACCAGGCATCGGGTTTTGGTGGGGAGTTATTTTCTTATATATCACAGCTTTTGCTAGCATGTCATCTTTGAACAATCGTGCTTTTTGTTCATGTCTTGTAGGGTATTCTGAGCTCGTCGTACATGGCTCTCACGCCAGTGCTCGGCCGACATTGTCTCTCAGCTACCCTTTCCCCCTCAACGGACCCAACCGTGTCGCATGAAGGCTGTGTTCGTTGTTGCTGTCCAGACTTACACGGACTTACATCAACCGCAGCATGGCCCTGTCCCCGTCTGCCGTCATATCAAAAACCGCATCTTTCCTCGCTTACAGCTTGGAGCGGACGTCCTTGGCGGGCCTGTGACAAGTCAGCGATCAAAGTCAACATAAAAGTCCAACCCTCCCCCAAAAGAAGGAAGAGAAAACTTACGCGGCAATCTTTTCCGTCTCCTTCTTGATGGCGGCGCCCAGCTCAGGCGTGACCCGGGCGAACATCTCGTAGGTGCGCGCGCGGACGTCGGGGCGGGCGCCGGCCAGTGCGCCCGACACGTTGGAGACGAAGTTCTCCTGCTGGCCCGGCTGGCGGCCGAGGACCCGCCAGAGGCCGAGCGCCTGCTCGTAGTCCTCGGGCTTGACGGGCCCGAAGAGGTCGGTGACGACCTCGCCGGCCCACTTCTCGTGCGGGGTGTTGACGGCCTTGACGGGCTTGTAGTCCAGGGGGCGGAAGCTCGAGGCGTAGTTCTGTGGCAAAAGAGGAGGGGTCAGCTGTTTCGTTCGTGTCGTACAGATGGAGCACGAATATATGCAAAAAGAAAGACGGGGGTGGCAGGACGTACGGGGTTCGCGCCGTAGTTGCCGTTGACAGCCATGGCGCCGTCGCGCTGGAAGGGGTTGAAGGCGTTCAGGGGCTTGTTGACGGGGATCTGCTGGTAGTTGACGCCGAGGCGGTGGCGGTGGGTGTCCGGGTAGGAGAAGAGGCGGGACTGCAGGACGGGGTCGGCGGTCGGCTCGACGCCGGGGACCAGGTGGGAGGGGGCGAAGGCGGCCTGCTCGATCTCGGCAAAGTAGTTCTCGGGGTTCTTGTTGAGGGTGAGCTTGCCAAAGGGCCGGAGGGGCACCTCGCTCTGCGGCCAGACCTTGGTCAGGTCGAAGACGTTCCACTTGAATTTCTCGGCCTGCTCGGGGGTCAAGGTCTGGACGTAGACGGTCCAGCTGGGGTGCTCGCCCCGCTCGATGGCCTCGAAGAGGTCCTGGGTGTGCCAGTCGGGGTTCTCGGACGCCATCTTGGCCGCCTCGGCGTTGGTGAAGGTCTTGTTGCCCTGGTCCGTCTTCAGGTGGATCTGCACGTAGACGAAGGAGCCGTCAGGCTTGGTCCACTTGTGCGTGTGGCCCGAGTAGCCGTTCATGTGTCGGTAGGAGTAGGGCGTTCCGCGGTCGGAGAACAGGTGCATCAGCTGGTGGATGCACTCCTGGTTCTGGGACCAGTAATCAAACATCTGAGACGTTAATAGATACGTTCAGCGTATAAGTGATTCTCTGCATACCATCGTGGCGTCCTTCAGGTTGGTCTGAGGGTGGCGCTTCTGAGTGTGGATGAAGACCTACAGCATGTCAACCTCAATTCTTACGGAAACATACTAGGCGGGGCAAACAGTACCGGGAACTTGACCGGGTCGCGGATGAAGAAGATGGGCGTGTTGTTGTAGACCCAGTCCCAGTTGCCCTCTTCAGTGTAGAACTTGACGGAGAAGCCTCTGGGGTCGCGCGCGGAGTCGGCGGAGCCCTTCTCGCCGCCGACGGTCGAGAACCGGACGAGGGCCTTGGTCTTCTTGCCGACCTGGTTGAGCATGTTGATGGAGGAGATGTCGCTGATGTCGTGGGTGACCTCGAACTGCAGCCGCCATGTCAGTAATCTTGTTCACGTTGCCCCCCGTCCCTCTTTCGAAAAACAAAACGAACCTCGCCGTAGGCGCCAGCGCCCTTGGCGTGGACGACGCGCTCGGGGATGCGCTCGCGGTCAAAGTGAGCCAGCAGGTCGATCAGGTGGAAGTCCTGGAGCAGCAGAGGGCCCTGGGGCCCGATGCGCTGCCACGCCTGGGGGTTCTCGACGGGGGCGCCATTGGAGGTGGTGTAAGTCGGCTTCTCGTCGTACCGGTAGGTGGAAGGAGGCTTCTCGTCGTCGGAACCCATCTCGTCGGTCTGTTATCGTCTTCGTTCGGGTGGGAAGGAGAGGGTGAGGTGAGGCTTCGAGTGAGTGTCGGTCGGCTTGGGTCCAATTGAGCACCAACAAGCACAGAAGTCAGATCGGGAAACAGATCAAACGAGATCGCTGGGGGAGGGTCCGCTGGAAGGGAAGTGGAAAAGATAAATCCTCTCTGTTGTACGACAAGGCAAAAAGACAGCGGGTCCCTCCCATCACCTCGGCCCCTCTGCTGCCCAGTTTCTTCGGCTCCTGGAACCAGCGTTCTCTCACGTTCGTGAAGCTCCAGCAGAGTGTGTGACCAATGGGAGGACCGATGAATGCAAGCTTGGGACGGCCGAGGTCCACCGGGAGGCTCCATCGCGAGATTTCCTAGCGTCATTCGGCCACCCCCCTTGTATCTGTAGATGGTACTCCATAGCTCCACCCCCTTGTTGCTGAGATGTGTGGGTGAAGCTTGCCCCAGGACCAACCCATGCCAACGCACCCTACTCAGTCCTTTTGCACCGTTATAATCATCCCGCGCATCGAATAAATACAAGGGAAATATCCTGGCCAGAATTAGGCCCCAAGTTGATCGTGTCTAAAGGTTGTTTATAGCTCCACATCTAGAAAGAAGTTTGCATTACATCTCCTTGGATCTGTACTAAGAACTGGCGATATGATAATATCCAAGGGGCGGCTTAAACCTAGTGACTATGCAACTTTATGTGGCGGAACGTGGATGAGCAGTCTCAACATTGTTGACCGAGGCCAAGGGTTTCTTTCGGAGAACACCGTCGTCCAAGGCACGCCCTTGAGATGTAAGATGTACCAAAGGACAAAGAATACACGGCATCCAACCGACGATGCCCCCCCCCCCCCAATCCACGGTGACTACCCCTCGGTTTGGAAATGGAGCACAGGACGAATTAACAGCGGCCAGAGCTGTGCGTTATCACCGACATCGCGCGGGGCGTTATCGCCGTGGCAAAGGTCACGTCCACACCAGAGACTTCTTGCAGCCGCCGAGCGCTGCATTCAGGTAGACAGAACTTCTATCTCGCTGCGTCACATGGCCGCTCGCCAGGTTCGGCCGACGAGCCGACGGGGCCCGGGAAGCGCGCCGGGCCCCGCGGGCTCTGCTTTTGGGCAAGGGGTGCGTGCTGTCAGCCAAGCGCCGAGGACTGAGACCTCGCATCTCGGCGATATCCCGGGGGTGGCCGGAATCTTGCATTGAGCCTGAAGACCATGTAGCTGGTGTGCATGCTATTGGTTGTCTATACACCATAACGGACAGGACTGTAGGGACGAATCTCCCCCGATCGAGTCGAAATGCTGCGCTGGGAGAGGAACACAACATGGAAGATCCCATGTCCGCCCGCCAGTAAGAGACAGAATTTCTCTTTCAACCCGGTGAGGATCCACGTGGCTCCGCGGAAGAATGGAGGTGGCGTTCCCTCAGCAAGACAGACGGCGCCTTCCGGCGCGGAAGCCATTCCGGAGCTGTAAGTCTCAAGCTGCACTATATTCGTAGGCAGCTTGGAAGAGGAGCTCCGGTAGGTGACAGGGGTGAGCGCATTGGATTCCCCCGGTTACATCTACCCAACAACCCTATCAACTACCAGCGACATACCACGACGTCGGATGCACGACGTCCCCGCTCTCACAACTACAAACTCATAGTCAACGAATTCGACGTAGGCCTTGATCGAGAGGCACTTGCTATCCGTCATGCAACAGGCGTCAACGTGCTGTTGAATATCAGAACTCGGCTTGCCGAGAGGAAGACCAAGTCTTGGATCAAACCGGCACCATCACCACATCGACTTGGTGCTTGTCCTCTCTTGTAAAAGCTAGTGCGGCGTTATGGCCAGATAAAACGAGATAAAAAAACGTCCGGTACTAAAACAGAGGGGAATAAACAGTTTGTTTGCCCGTCAAAGAAATTATGGGCGCGTCATATGGGGGACGTACGGCAAGCAACCTCAACCAGTGTCACCGACTATTTGGCTGACGAGCCTCGCCTTCGTCCGCCGAGAAGGTATTAGTAGGTCTCTATCGGCTTGGCCGAATGGGAAGTTCTCGTGACAGGCAAAATCGACCTTCGTCGGACAGGTGAAGAGGGCAAGTCCGGCGACATATGATGTACGACGCGCCGGCTCGGGAGGTTGACGGCAGAACCGCCGACGTGCGCCCCAGGTTCTTGCCTATTACAGCCTCCGGCCATGCGGAACGAACAGGCTCATCATTCCCCCGCAACAACCTCCCCTACTTCTGTCAAGTGTTACAGGTGATTCTCTCCCCGCTCGATGGCAGTCTTCGCGCCGAAGCAGAGAGGACGAGCTGGATGCGTCATCCCCAGCTTGCCACCCCCAAACTACGGCGACACACGAACCACGACACCGCACAGCGAAGGACAAGCGGGAGGGAGCAAACGTGGCGAATTCTCCGCGATGGGAAGGCCAGCGTCACACCCGCATCCGACCCGCACCCGAACGCGCCCTCTATCCACGGTGGATGCTCAAGTAGGGGGTTTCCACGAGCGTGTGGCTGTGAGAACACATGAGTCTATCACAGAATTCACCGTCACACACCCTCCGTGATTCACAGCGAACCCCTTTTCATCGCGGCTACAGGAAATCTTGCCGCCGGAGTTGCCGAAGTAGACTGAGAATCCTATATACCACTCTCCCAACCCTGTTTTGGTACAGAACAACAATATCTGGTATTTTCAGTAATCTTTCGAAAAAAAAACAAAAAACCCCCAGCTTCGAGCTACAGACTCCTCCGTGGACCTTCAGCCGTTAAAGAACAGCCCATCATGCACCTCGCAATACCACTCTCTCTCCTCCTCATTCTCACCGCAGCAACACCCAGCCCGGCCCCGGCCCCGGACGACGACGACGACACTGTCTGCCCCGAGGGCACGATCGCCTGCGGCCCAGTCTGCGTCCGCGACAACCAGCGCTGCTGCAACGACCCCTTCACCGCCGACTTCTGGTCATGCGAGAGCGCCCAGTCGTGCGGCCCGTCAAGGAAGGAGGGCTGCCGCAACCCGGCAAACCAGCACCCTTCCCCTCCTACTTCCCCGTCGCCGTCCCCATCCCCGCCGCCCGGACCGCCGACCATCACGGTGTCGTCCACCACGACGCGGACGCGGACGGTTCACACGCAGCTGACGCCGACGGACGCGGACCAGCAACCGCCGACGTGCTTTTTCGACGTGCCGCTCGCGAGGCGGGCGCCCTCGGATGGGAACCAGGTGCCCTGCCCCACGTCGCTCGTGTCCTCGCTCGACACCCCGGCCGGGGTCCCCACCGAGACCGGGGCGGCCGCCGCCGTCCCACACCGGCGGTGGGATGTCGCGGCGCTTGCTGCCGCCGTTGCGTTGCTGGTTTAGCCTGCTCTGGAGGTCCTCATAATAACGAGGCAGCTGCTCGATAAAATCGGCATTGCTTTTTTTTTTTTTCCATGTTTCAAATAGGGCTCGCTCATGCCCATGAATCCAATCCGAGAATTACAACCACGTCAGGTGTCTGCTGCGCGCGAGTCTCGATACTCAAGCGAGGCCTTGTGAAATGTTTCTTACGCACCCCTCCCACCTCATTTCCACAGTCATATCGTGCGGCCAAGGCGTGGACAACAGGAACGGCTCTGTCAGAACAGAAACCAGGGACGCGGTACGACGTCCCCGTGCTGGCATTAGAAGCGTATAAACTGATAAAACGACGAATCAACTCGAGTTTCCCTCTGTCTGTCTCGTCCCGGCCATGCCCTTTGACCGCCTCATGCAATGTATCTGCGAAATGTATGTATCCATCCGTTCCCGGTCGAGAGCCCATCGTTCCAACGAGGGCGTTGACGCCCATTAACAACCGGCGAGGCTGACCGGTCAATACTGCCACCCGATTCCACGTTCATCACTGTGTTACACCCTCGACGAAGGCGAAACGCCGATGCTTCGGTACCCTAAGGCCGAAAAAAAAAAACAATCCTACGTGGTGCCTTCTCCCTAACCAAAAGACACCGACAAAACACACCACTGATGCGCAGCTCTACCCGGCTAAAAGGGGCCATATTATGAATCGTAAAGGGCGTTATGTATAATGGTTGCTGGGGGGAGGTTGGCTGGGCGTATGGGGTTCACGGAGCCGAGACTCCTTGTTTATGACTCCTGGTTGACAGTTTGCTACAAGACGTTAGTACTGTTGAGGAAAATGACTTGCTCCTTAAGAAAGCCAAGGGGTAGGACGTCAACGTACGACAAGCCAATCCATGCCCTCCGTAACACCGCTGCCGTCGACGGCGGAGCAGGCCATGATGCTCCAGTTCCGGTCGCGCAGCTCGCCCAGGCGCAACGCCTCCGAGATCTCGCCCGCGCCCTTGGCGCCGGGCTGGTCCTGTTTGTTGGCGAAGACGAGAAGCGAGGCGTCCTTGAGCTCCTCCTCGTTGAGCATGGCGCCCAGCTCCTCGGCGGCGGTCTGTAGACGCTCGATATCGGTCGAGTCGACGACGAAGATGACGGCGGCCGTGTTGGCGTAGTAACACCGCCAGTACGGGCGGATGCTGGTCTGGCCGCCTAGATCCTACGGGCAAAGCGCGCGGGGCGCTCGTGTCAGTCTCTTGCGTGCTCGCTAAAACGTGTGAGGGGTGCATGGAGGGGGGGCTCCGCGTACCCAGACGTTGAAATTGAGGTTTTTGTATGTGACGGACTCGACGTTGAATCCTATCGTCGGGATCGTGGTGACAACCTCGCCGATCTGAACGGTGCAAAACGTTAGCTTCCCAGTTGACCACATATGCGCGCCCGCCCGCGCGAGCGTCGGGGATGTTTAGAGCGCAAGCACACCTTTAGTCTGTACAGGAGTGTCGTCTTGCCGGCGTTATCCTACATCCGCAGTTTGTCAGCTTCGTGCATCCGTGTCTGGACGGGGGTTTGGGGTCCCCCAGAAAGCGGCAGCGATGGGGGGACGTGTCTATCGGGGGAGTTTTTGCGTACCAGTCCCAAGATCAGTATCCGAATCTCCTTCTTGGACCACAGAAGGCCGGAGAGCCATGACATGCTTGCGCCCATCTTGATGGATTATACGTTGGAGGGTTCGGAAGGGGTTGTTGCTGGGTTCAGGACTGGCAAGTAGGGACGCAAGGACCGTGGTGTTGCGGGCGAGTGTAGTAATGCTTGCTTGCCACTGTACGCGGTTGGCCTCGGGACATAAGGGTTGGTGGTGTAAATAGGTAGCAAAGGTGGCTTGTTTCCCAGGAGGCGGCAGCAGAATGACGGAAGACCCCTGGCGGTGAGTTAGGTACCTTATGTACAGGGCAATAGTACCCGTGTTCGCATTGATAGAGAAAAACCCGAGAGATCGGATGAAGTTCAGGGGTAAGTAAAATGACAAGAGGCCTGCCTATCCCTTTCTGTTTTGGTGACAAATAGTCGCGCTGTCCGTTTCTTCAAGCTGTTTTGTCTGCAACCTAGTGAACAAAGGACCGTTGTACAAGAATCTTGACGGCTTGCTCCCGTAAGGTAACGGTAAACGGGTCCCCCCCCCTAATTGACAATTTTTAAGACATGCATGGGGGGATGGGAATTCCTGTCCGGGCGTTCAAGCGGCACCTCTGGGGCCGGTTGGGGGTTATCACGTAATCAGCGTCTGCTCATACTGCCTTAGGCAGAATTTCGATGTCGAGTCATTTCCGAAGAAAAGGATAAAAAGAAAGAGTCTTATCTAATCAGAAGGCCTTCGATGTACACTAAGGAGGGGAGAGCCACATGCGGAGCCACACGGTTGAGCCTCTGAGGCGAGTGACCGCAGTGACTCCTCCGGAAAGCGTGACCGACCCCACCTCTTGCCCTGCCCGCCAATCAGGGCAACTGCGGGCTCGCTAACCCAGTACGCCTCGTGCGCACGAATTCTCTAGAAATCAGAAAAATCTCCCAAACCCATCGAGAGCACAACTGCACCCCAAGGACTCGACCAGTTTGATCAGCCAACAGCCGTCAAAATGCCGGTACGTGATGCCCACGCTCTCTCTGCGCGCCCCTTTTCGACGACGACGACGACGACAATGATGATGTGATTCCCCTCCGTCGCGGTCGAATTACCCGGAAAACGGATGGTGAAGAGAAGCGAACCCCCCCCCCCCCCCCGGCCGCCGCCGCCGCCGCGCGCGGGTTCGTGGACTTTTTGAGGAGAGAGGTGGAGGGGCAATACACATCATCGCTATCACGATCGGAGAGAAGGGGCCGCAACGAGGAACAATATTCCAACCCGGAAGCAGAGCGCTGACATTCTTCTCGAATACAGAGCCACAAGTCTTTCCGCACGAAGCAGAAGCTCGCCAAGGCGCAGAAGCAGAACCGCCCCATCCCCCAATGGATCCGTCTTCGCACCGGTAACACCATTCGGTACGATACACCCTCGGGATTGCTCCCTCCAGCCATCATCCTTCGGCACTACGTGCTGGAAGGACGGCCAGGCGGGGAAGATCTCGACCCCGAAGTCTGATCGAGCACATGACTGACGTGAAGTACAGCTACAACGCGAAGAGACGCCACTGGCGCAAGAGCAAGCTCGGCATCTAAACCACTCGCCTCCTTCTCTCTTCAAAATCCCCTTGCCATACCTTGCGGGCTTTTCCCGGTCTCCCATGGTACCGCCGACCGAAGAAACGACGACACCGCGCTCGACTTGAGGAAAATTTTCTTTCACAACTAGGAGGGGTCACTCTGACGGACTCGTTAAATACCCGCTGGCTCGAGTCCCGATTCGAGGGGGAGGTAGTCTCACAGGATGGAGGGGAACCAAAATGGGAATGCCCGGCTCGGCTAGACTCTCTACGTATTGCATGTTACGGTCATAGGGAAAGGAATGCAAAATCATTGATGCCTCTGAACGAAGACACAAGAACCCCACCACTGCTCGCTGGCTTGGATTTCCGTGACTTTAACGGTCGTTCAGGGTCTGGCTCGCCAGTTTGGCTCGTCGGTATACGTCAACGTGTATGCCAAGTCAGTCAATGATACTCGGGTCCTGATGCCAACTCAGGCCGGCAAGGCCGCCTTCATCCGGTACAATAGGACTATGATATCGGCACCGAGACGACGGCGGCCCTGACGGATACTGCCTGTAGAGCCCGCATTTACTTCAAATTTTGTGATTCGTGGACGATACCCGGTGAGCGGCTGCTCAAGCACTTGCCGTTCCGATGACGGGTAAAATGATTGCTCTTTTACATTGTGTGCAGAAGCGCCCTGAGATTGTTAGTCCATCCTGGTCCTCCGTGCCGACTGCCCCGCCCTACTTGGGTAGTTCGCAACCAAATTAGGCTAGAACGCAAATATGTAGGCCCGAGGAATTGCTAGGCACAAGCTGTCCTGCCCAGGACTTGTAATCCAGACACTGTAGACCTCAAGCTCCAATAGGCAGCGCAATAAGAATGGATCCCCGCAGGGCACTTCACTTGCCTACCAAGAGAAAAGGAATAAGGCAAACTGGAATCGTCTGGCCATCCTCAGGTTCAGAGAGAATGAGTACTCAAAGTGTCTTGCTATAACTGTCTAGCAAACCAACTGGCGGAGCATGTTTGCTCGGCAAGAGGGAGTCGTGTGTCGACTGTCTCACTCACCATCCTGATGTCCCTGTCCGTGAACACCCAAATCCTGACCTGTGGAGCAACCCGCAAACTTTCCAGGCAACCGAAACCGAATAAAAGAGCGATCGTCATAAACGCCGGAGTACGATGCATCACACATTAGGAGTGAAGAGAGATATCCGAAGAGGGATTCGAACCCATACTCCGGCCATCCACCACCCGAATCGACCATGGTTCTTAGCGATCCTCGGCCCACTCGTTCTCACGGCGAATCTGCTCCTCCTCCTCGGGTGTGAAGTCGTTGGTAATGTTGAAGGTCTTGCGGATTTCCTCGGGGGACTTGCCCTTGATCATGTTGGCAACGGTCTTGCAACCAACGTCGAGTAGAGGCTTGATGTCAAGGTAGTTGGAAGCCTAGACAGGTATTAGCTCGGTCACATTAACAATCGATGGGCGGCAGAGCGTCATACAAGGATGATCTCGAAAAGCATCTCCTGGTCAACCTGCATAAACTTCTGGTCCCACTCCTCGATCTCGGTAGTCTTTTTGCGAGCATCGTTCTCGTCGTCCTGGGTCTGAACGGGGTCGTTGCGGTGGTGGTCGCACCAGTCGATGACCTTGCGAAGGACTGCCTCATTCACCTGCGGAAGGAAGGTTAGCGCTGTGGTCATGGGTGACGCAGAAATGGCGGGGTAACGACGTACGTTGGGGATGGGAATAGGGTTCTCCTGGCTGATGCTGTCGTCACCAACATCCTCGAGCATGTTCTTGATGAGCATGGAGCGCTCAGCGACAACACGATCTAGTGCCTTTCAGTCAGCAGGGTGCGACAAGGTCGAGCGGCGGCGGGAGGGGTCTGACGTACCAACTGGGATGGTGATGTTGTCGTTAGACTGGACCCAGATCTTGGAATCCTTCTTTTCGGCGGCCATTTTGTATGATATGGGCTGTTAACCGTGTGATGCTGTCCTGGGGGGTATTAGCTTGAAGTGGTGAGTTGCGATGATGGAGCGTTGCTTGATTGATTAATCGGCTGAGGGTGGAAGGCGGAAGATGGTGGGGGAAGGCGAGCCTGGGTGAAGCGGCTGTCGCACGCTGATGTGCACTGACAACTTACGGTTCGGAGAATGCAATATATCGAATAGGTTTATGTTCGTAGGCGAAGACAACCTGGGATTTGTTCGAAGCAATGTCGACAAACAGAGTGGAAATGGTGTGCAGTCGGAGGTAGCTTTTGATCACGGCTGGCAGGCTGACTTTGGGTTGGATGGTTTTGGGGTCGGGGGTGGTAGGTTGTGGAGAAAAGGAAGTCACGGAGGGGATGGCTACCTGTGGAAAACGCAAGCGCTAGAAAAAGGAAGAGAGGCAGGTACTGTGATTGGCTTGAATCGTTTGCTCTTAGTGAATAGTGGGCCCGTTGCCTCTGGTGCCTGGAGACTGGAGAAGCTGGTCCTAGGCCGCAAATCATCGTCTTTCAGCCGACCTCAAAGGCCTCAGCCAAAGCCCCCCACTAAAGCTGCAGGGCAGCGGAACCCATTGCGCTTCAGGACAGGAGAGAACCCCCCGCTCTCCTGGAGTCTATTTTAATAATAAAGGTGTTGGTTTTTAGTTCAAGGCCCCAGTGTGACTAGGCAGAAGCATTAGAGAATTCAAGATCTTTCTAGACCCGGGATGACTACTTTCCGAATTCCCTTCACCTCTAAGGGGCAAGGAAAGGTGATGCTGTCTGCATGCCCTTTGCGGTTGACTCCAACAAGGACAAGATACTCTCCTATAACTTGTAACCCGCAGCGACCAAGGCCAATCCAGCAGCGCTTTGAAGCTCAAGATGGAAAAAAAGTGACAGCACTGGTGAAAATGTTTGGCCCAGTTCTCTCTTGCGCTTAGTAATTATAGGTCTACCGCGGGCGACATAACACCTTGCGTTTCGGAATCGATTCGTTTGCCGACTCTCACTTGGCTGATCTATGGTTGCTGTTAGAAAGCAGGTCAGGTCAAGCCACCGATAGCCACAGGCCTTTCAGCCAGGCACCTGGCGGAGAGTGATCAGCAGAACCATCAACTCAAACATGGCCTTGACAGCGGCTGATGTTTGACGGCCTCATTTGTTACAGGCTTCTGATACAGGGCAACTGTGCTGCATATACTTTGGGCTTGATCATATTATATTTTCTTGCTGCAGAGCGGTTTGCCCTGGAACTATCGACCGTGGTCTGACGAAGATGCCATATTAGGTACCGTGCTGAACGGTTTCAAGTTGCGCATATAAATATGCCAACTCAACGAATCACACAGATACGGTGCCGTATCTGGTTGGGCCCAGATTTTGATTCCCTGGAAGTCGGGCCTATCCCATGACAATAGTCCAGACGATGCCCCTTCGAGAGACGCTTGTGACCGAGTAGACAACTCGTGACCATAGACGCCCCAGCTGATAAAATCGAATTCGAAGCAAAGCACGCTCTTACCGCTGCATGTGCCCTGTAAAGGAAATACAAGTGTAAGGTCAGTGTAAAATGAGTTGTCCATTTCCAGGTTTGTGTGTCAATGAGGAACGGGAGAGCAAAGATGTTCCGGTACCGGGAGGACGCTTGCGTGACGCCGTTGGGCGGGTGTACATTTGCCAAAACCGACCGGAAAGGCAAACGCCGGAACAGAACCGGGTCTTTGGCGCCTCCGTTAGAGTGCCGGCAAAGCACCGCCACCCGTTCAACGGTTGTTCGGTGAACGAGCTGCTCGGGCGGGATGGCTCTGACTTCCTAGGTTGATGCTTGCTAACAACAACAACAACAACGACGACGATGACGATGACGACGGCAGTGAATTTGGCGGCGGGGCTTGTGCTCACCGCCTGAGCGTGACTGTGTTTCTCATGGCACGACGCAGTATTGTCAACTTACACGCGCCATGGATGTGGCCCTGTACCGAAGCCCATATCGGACTGGCATCTGGAGACGATGGGGGCGGGCGATAAGGCAAGCCAGGGCCGATGGCGAAAGCGAGCTGCACGCACTTAAGGAAGCCTGTCTGCCCCAGGGAATCAACCCCCACGACACGCAGGGGAGAGCCAATGGTCTCATGACGCGCAGTCATATGGCCCAAGACATTCGAGATGGCTACATTCTGCGAAGCATTCCCTGTCGCGCAAAAAAACTCCTGGGCGCGAGACTGGAAAGAAGTACAAAGATTGCTGGGTCCATTTTCCGGACTTAATTTCATGGTACCGCTCCAGCCAGAGTAGGTGGCGCGCTTTCGTCCCTAACAGTCATCAATGGTAACCTATAGCGCCTCTAATGTTAATGGGGCCCACGAAGCCGAAGCTTGCGCGGATGGATGTAAGGTGCCCCGGGCCAAATTACATTACGTTCGTCTGATATCAGGCCTCACCGGACGAACGATGTTTGTCAACCGACTTCATCCGGGTGTGTGTGTGTGTGTGTGTGAGTGTGAGCGTGCATGCGTGTGTATGTGCATGTGCGCCTGTTACTCCAGAGACGGGTTGACTTCAGGAGTGCAACAAGTTGGCAAGCCATCGCTAGGTTGAGGGGATGCCGGATGGAGATGATGCATGATGACGCTAATTCATATCGTGTTATTTGGTTGGCCTTGGTTGGGGAAAGGGGTGTTGTTACCCCCCCGGCACGCAGTGTATTGTACGGAGAGCGAGTGGACGAGGAGGAGGACAAGTAAATCAGATAATGGAAGGAGCCCCCCGCCTTAGCCGTTTTGGGGGCTAGTGGTCCGATGCGAGGCCTCTTGCGAGAAGATACTGGCAGGGAACAGGGGGGCCGTTGCAGCGACGTATACATTAGTAGTACGGTCGCGCGTTGGCAGTTGGCATGCACCCCATCCAAGGAAGGTAGGTATAAGGTGTTTTTAAGGTGATGCTTGGTAGACTATCTGTAATAGTACTCAGCTCAGGTAGGTAGGTAGAGGACATCGTGCCTGCTTGCCTTGAGATGACAGCCACCTTTGCGGTCTTCAGAATCCTCGAGCTACCTTCCCTGGAGTTCTGTCCGTCCGTCTGACCAGACCAGAACTCTCCCTCACCTGACATCTCATGCCATCCAGAAGTCCCCTGGCAAGAAAGAGTAGCGAAGCACCAAGCAGAATCAAGGGCAGGGGCCATGTGCCTACTTCAGGGATTGCGGATACACCCTCATATGGAGAGTTCTGTGTCTAATGCTCGGGACCTGGAACCTTACCCTAAAAAAAAGCACCAGAGTACGGAGTACCCCCCCTCCATCCACTGGGACACGTTGGGACTGGGCGCTCAGCGTTCGCGCAGAAATACCCTGACCATCACCCTACCTCATCTCTTCTCTGCTGCGCAGTTCATTGCCTTCGTTTCTTTTTTCTTCCTCCGCCCTCTCCTTCACCTTACAACATCCATTTTCTGTTGGATTACTTGATCCTACATTTCTCTCCTTCCCCCTCCACACCTCGCCGCCGACCTACCCTTGGCGAACAATCGCATGTTCGGCTTCTTTGCATGCGCTCTTCCTCCTGATGATGCGACGTTGCGACCAATACTCTTCACAACAAACCTGTCGTCCTTGTCCCGACTAACGACCATCAACTTGTAATTCCTTCGCACTCGACTGCTGACCGATGCTCGAGCTGCACGCAGCACCCCCGACGGCCATATATTGATCAAAAGCGTGACGAGCTATGTGGCGGAGGACCTACCTGTTCCTGGTGTTGATCCGGCTGTGGTTCGCGCTGTCGCCCAGCTACCTCCACCCCGACGAGAACTTCCAAGGCCCAGAGGTTATCGCAGGTATGTCTAATACGCTGTCCCATTCGGTGCGGGTCATAGGTGCATCTCTGTGTTGTGCGCCGTCGAGCTTCCCCGAGCTTCACTTGAGCTCGGGTTGAGTTGGGGCTCGTTTTCGTCAAGGATCCAGACTGACGGCGTGGCGCAGGCCAAATCTTCAGCTACCCGGTCCGACACACGTGGGAATTCACAAACGAACATCCGATACGAAGCGTCTTTCCATTATGGCCTGTGTACGGCCTGCCCATGTTGCTACTGCGATGGCTGTGGATCGGTAACGGCAAGGACGGGGAGATCCCTCCCATCGCAGTCTTTTGGACCCTTCGCGTGCTCATGTTCGCCACCAGCTTTGTACTGGAGGACTGGGCCATCCACGAGCTCATCAGCTCCCCGCGCCACCGACGCGTTGCTGTGCTTTTGGTTGCTTCGTCTTATGTCACATGGACCTACCAAACCCACACGTTCTCCAACTCGGTTGAATGCCTGGTTGTTGCGTGGTGTTTGGTCCTGATTCAGCGCATTGTCGAGAGCCCGGTAAGGACCCGTTCAGCAGAGCTTTGCGGCCGCACACCGACTGACATGCTAATGCTTGTGGCAGCAACAATCGTCGCTTCTCGCTTCTTCGATTCTTGGCGTAGTAGCCGTGTTCGGATTGTTTAATAGGATAACTTTCCCGGCGTTTTTGCTGATTCCGGGACTTCGCTTGATACCCCATTTTCTCAACAGGTTGGTCTTTTCCCCTGATGTCATGGTATCAGGGATGCACGCGCCCACTAACAACGTGACAGGCCCGTCTCCTTCATCGTCATGGCCTTGGCTGGTCTCACAACCACTTTCGTCGCCATCACACTGGATACGGCATTTTATCTTTCTGAGCCCATTAAATGGACAGACCTCATTTCCCGCCCCGTCATCACGCCACTCAACAACCTTCTCTACAACATTGACACAAATAACCTCGCGCAGCATGGCCTACACCCCTGGTACCAGCATCTCCTGGTCAACATCCCCATGCTGATTGGCCCGGCGGCAGTGCTGCTCTTCACCCAGCCGCACATCTCGCTTCGACTCTACTCGGCCATCTCCGGCGTCTTCGTGCTATCCATCTTCCAGCACCAAGAAGCCCGGTTCCTGTTGCCGACCGTCCCGCTCATCCTCTCGTCTGTTCACATGCCCAGGAGTCGTACTCTTCTCCGGGTGTGGATCGGCGCCTGGATTGTCTTCAATTTGTTCTTCGGCATCCTGATGGGCATCTACCACCAGGGAGGTGTTGTGCCAGGTCAGGTGTTTCTGAGCAAGCAACCAGATGCGACGCAAGCCGTCTGGTGGAAGACTTACACGCCGCCCATCTGGCTGCTCAACGGCAAAAATGAGGTTCTCACCACGCGCGACGTTATGGGCATGAAGGGCGATACGCTCCTCGAGGAGCTCACCAAGCTCGCGACGTGCGATACGCCCGCCGACCGACGCAACTCGGAGTACCTGAAGGAGAAGAACGGCACGTACCTGATGGCGCCGGCGTCGGCGACATGGATCGACCCCTATATCCCCAATAAGGGGCTCAAGGGCCTGCGGTTCCGCGAGGTATGGCGTTACAGGCAGCATCTAAACCTCGACGATTTGGATTTTGGCGACGACGGCATTTGGAACACCCTGGCACGGGTGATCGGTAGGCGCGGTCTTGTCGCTTGGCGGGTGACGAAGAGCTGCAAATGATCAGAAAGCAGCAGAAAAAAAGCAATGAATGAAAAGACTTTGAACGTTTGATGACACCACCTTGTCCGAGAATGGAATGAACTTGGTATCGTACATGTTCTCCCCCCAGCCTGCCCCAGCCATCAATTCCGAGCCATATCGCCGCACCGTTGTCGCCCGTTTCTTTCCCCCCTTTTCCCCTGTACAGGCCATTATGATTTTCAATGTTCATTAGTCGTCCCAACTCGCGGAAAAGGCCGTTCCCGTTCCGTTACCGAGGACCCTTCAGCGCAAGATCAAGCGCCTCCCGAGCGCCGTCATGTTTCTCATCGATGGGCTTCCCGTTGCCCGCCGCCGCCGCCTGTTCCTTCCTTCTCATCCGACACCATGCAGCCTTGACCCCGGCAGCCGCACACAAAACAAGATCCAAAGGGGGAAAAAGGTTCCTGACGCAGGTTACACCTTCGCCTTGTTGACGTCCACGGCGAAGAGCCATTTCCCTGATGTGTTCATCTCCCCGAGCCGGCTCTTCATCCAGCAGATGCGGCTGCCGTAGTAGTCGCCCCAGCCGGCGCCGACGCAGTCGGTGTGGGCGGCGCAGAGGTCGATGCAGGCGGCCATCGTGGTGGTCTCCTGCGACGAGAGGTCTATGGCGCCGTCCCCCGAGTTGAAGTCGTGGCCGCAGATGAGGCGGAAGTGACGGGCGGGGTTGCCCTGTGCCGAGAAGGTCGCGTTGTCCTTGGCCGGGCAGGTGATTGTCGCATGTTCTGTTGACTCGATGTTTATTGAGTTGCTGGAGGAGGGGAAGAGAAGAGAGGTCTGTGTTAGCTGGGTCGGCCAAAACATGGGATGGTGCGGAGCCGAGAGAGAGAGAGAGAGAGAGAGAGAGAGAGAGAGAGAGAGAGAGAGAGAGAGAGAGAGAGAGAGAGAGAGAGAGAGAGAGAGAGAGAGAGAGAGAGAGAGAGAGAGAGAGAGAGAGAGAGAGAGAGAGAGAGAGAGAGAGCTAGCTCCCATCAACCGGCGCCAGAGTCTTTAGTTTGAATAAAAACCGTTCCACTAAGCTCAAATTTCTAAAACAAGGTGCATCCGGCATCCACCTACCTCCTCGACCGATTAGAGAGTAGACGCTCCAGCCAAGGATTGAGCAAGGAAGAGGGAACGCCAGGATATTTGGTCTACCGGGAGATACTCTAGTTAAGATCACTTGTTAAGGGGATCCAAGTCCGACGGGCTGTTCCGCCGTTCCAATCATTTAACAGAGACGGACTGTATCTTGCTGAAGTTCAATAGTTGACACGTTCAGGTCCAATAAGAATAAGAGCTAGAATGTGTTAGTGTTGGATAATAATGACAACGACCTATGATATCTGAGGTGGGGGCCTGCTTTTAAGATCAGCTACGATATCTCACGCAAGTTCTTCCTAGAGATGCCGAGCCCGCGAGTAAGTCCGGTGGCGCCCTGTGGCTAGGCAGATTAGGGTCAGTTACACGTACCGGCGATACCAAAAGTGGATATGAAGGGCGATAGATTTTAATACTTAGCACCTTGTCACGGCCGACCTAATCTTGTGGCTGGCCCTAGTCACTGTTTCGACCCCATATCCGTTTAAGAGCCGGAAGTGAGAGAGAGAGAGAGACAGAGGCACAGAGACAACGGGCATATGGGAGAGGGAGAGAGAGAAAAGGGGGAAAGAAAGTGAAACGAGACATACCCTGAGTCTCTTTGCGAACGCCGCCCGACCGCCAAGCCCACGCCGACGCCGATGGCGATGGCCGCCACGACGATGACGATGGCGACGACCATGACGATGTAGCATAGCTTCCGACGCACGCCGCATAGCTTCCGCTGGCCGTCGGTGTCGAGCGACCTCTGGCCCAGCGGCGTCGCCGGCAGGTGGTGGTAGCCCGGGGGATGCTGCTGGCCACCGGGGCCGTACGCCGATGCCGCCGGCGAGTACGACGAGACGGGGGCGACCTCAAGGCCCGGGTTCTGTTTGTAGTAGTTGTGCCAGGCGATGGCGTCGTCGGCGATGTGCGGCGCCAAGGCGGTTTTGGCGTCGACGTGGGCGTGGGCGTAGGGCACGACCTCTGGGAGCGGGATGTCGTTCGGGCGCCAGGGGCTCGGGGCGTCGACGACCTCGAGGCCCGACTCGTACTCCTGCTGGTCCTGGTGTCGGTGATGGTGCTTCATGTTGAGATACTTCTCCCCCTCTCTCACCCCGTCTCCGTCGGCGGCGGTATGCTCGCGTGCTTTGGCATCGTCTCTCCCGCTTCTGTCCATTCCCTTTGAACCCTATCTACCGAATTTTCCGATTTCCCCCGGCGGCAGATCGAAGAGCGCCGGCCGTTAATGGAGTACAAGAGCAGCCACTTTCGCCGAGAGATGCACTCCAGATGGTGAGGGTTTAGACGCCTTTCGCAGAGTAACTTGGCTCTACTACCAAGCGGAACAAACGGAACGAGGGGCGGGGAGGAACGCAAGCACGCTAAGGGGGATTAAAAAAATAAAAAAAAGGTCCGCGGCAGTAAAGCAAAGAAGCAGCGAGGCTCGCGCAAAAGGTGAAAGAAACCGAAGACTGTTCAAGGAAAAGAAGGGGAAAAGGGAAAGAGAGGGCCAGACCTGAGACCATCTGGGCTGACCCGATGGGCTGGGCCCGTATTGGCCCGACGCTCGCTTTGGTGCCGTCCACTCCTCCAGCCCTGCCCTTGGTGGCGTTCGCGCATCAGCCAGGCATCAGGATAGCCCGGGGAAACGCGCCAGAGCAGACGGCAGCGGGATCCGGTTGTCGCTGCTGTGATCAACTGCTGTACGCATCCCTCTCCGGCAGGCAATGATCCTCCACCTCGTATTTACCAAGTGTGTAAGTATACTTGGAGCCGTGGAGGTACGGCCTGTCCCCCCATATGGCCCCCGGATTTGAAGCTGTATCTACATTACCTCAAACGAGACCCCCCAATCGTAAGGCCAGAAACAATGATCCCCAAGCTAGCGCGATGAGAGATGATCCTGGCGCCTAGCCAGACTCGACGTCGAGCACGTCCTCTTCGTTGGCTTTTGTGTCATCTCCACGAGCTTTCCCATCTCGACAAACTGACGAACAGGAGAGAAAGAGATGTGGCCTTTTCCTCCTTCAGTCGAGCTCTGCGAATCCTGGGCAAACTACCAAGCCGACGTGGTGTCGTATTCGAGATGGGCGGGTACCGTAGCAGTCGTGCAGGTTCTCCGGGAATTGAAGAGCCCGACATTGGCAGGGGCGTGGGGCGTTCGAGAGCACCGGCCAACAAGACGGTTCCGATGGTGCATCCGCTTGACAAAAGCCGAATGAGCTTGATTATTCGGTGCCCCTGCGTGTCGGGGGGTCCGCGCAGAGCCAAGACTGACTGCCTCTTCCTCATACAACTGCAGACCTGGGCCGTAGGGCGGGCGCCCTCGATTCGGTACCTGCCAGGGATGATCGCTGGTGCTGACGTGATGTGCTTCCTCCCCCCCGTTAGGATACTGCCGCAGCACGTTGGCCGGCAAACTCGAGTATTGATTGCCCGGTAAGCGCCGGCTGGTAGTGGGATGGGCGGCCTAGTCACCCTGAATGGACGCCGGCAAATTAGGCAGGGTCCACTAATAAAAAGGTCGTCGACGCTTTGTCAGACTATATGGCGCCACAACGTGTTCCAGATGGTTGGCTGGGCTGGGCCTTGGTGCACACGACGATGGGAAGGGATACGTAGTATATCATGGGGGACCGACGGCGGGGGTTTGGGTCTGGCGTACCGCCCCGGCCCCGAGTACATCCCGTAAAATGGGTGCCGGTCGACGCACCTCGCCGGCGGCGCGGGCCGTGAAGAGGAACCCGGCGTCCGCGCGTATACATCTCTTTCAGGTTTCCCGACTGACTCGACCGCGGATCCCGGCGCGCAACCGTGCAGTGACCATGCCCGAGTCCGAGGGACGAGCCGCGGACGAGCCCGTCCATTATCGGAATGGAATCCTCGTCCAGTCGTGAGTTTGCTGTCACAGGATCACGCATCTCGCAAGCATCACCCAGGTTGGAAAGCCAAAGTCATATCAATGAGTTCAATTACAACTTTAAAAGGCCGCGCGCGACTGCTGAAGCGTAAAAGGTCTACCTATTACCGGTTTTTTTTTTTTTAAATCTCGCGAGCCGCCAGTGCTCACTGGCCGTAGCGTGGGGAGAACAGGACTTTTTTTTTTTGTTGAGTTGGTATCGAATGTAACCTGGTATGCCCCTCCTCCGACCTCTACATAAGTGCAAACCCACCCCGGTCAGAAGTGGTCGGTGGCATTGTCCGCCCGCCGCTGTCTGCTCGGGCGGATAACGTGGTGACCCAACCTGCCGCCGGCCTTCCCCTTCGCCCCTATACCGGCACACGCAGCGTTACCGCCGGGCTGCTAGCCCCAACGGTGTCCCTCCCGCTCGGCCTCCATCCTGCGCATGCGCTCCTCTTCGTCCTCCGCGCTGATGGCCTCGCTGCGGCGCCCCTTGCGTCGGCTGCGCTTTCCGTCGTCGCCGCCTTCGTCTCTGCCCCGCTTGACACCCGCCAGGCCGGCCAGCCCAGCCATGCGCTGCGTCTCCTTGAGCAGACGCTCGCGGTCCCTGGCCTCACGCTCGAGGGCATGGGCATCCTTGGTGGGCACGCTAGGCGCGGCTTTGCTATTGACCGATGCCTGAGAGCCTCGTCTTCCCGTGTCTTGCCGGTCCGAGGCTCGGCCAGGCTTGGAGCTCGCTCCCCTGATCTCGAGGCCTGATGTGCTGCCCCGCGGGCCGGTGGGCGGGTTGAAGTCCTTTTCGACGGGCGTCGGCGGCTCGGCCGAGTGCTTGCGACTGCTGCGGTGACGGTGTTCCCGATCCCTGTGTTTGTCGCGCTTGCGATCCTTCTCACGGTCGCGATCCTTGCGGTCACGCTCACGGTCGTGGTCGCGGTCGCGATCTCTGTCTCTGTGGGAGCGGTGGCTGGACTTCCTGTGGTAGTCATCGTCGTGCTCGTCCCGGTACTTGTCCTTCTCCCGGTCGCGCCGCTTCTCGTCGCGGTCCCTGCGGCCCCGGTGACCGGATCTCTTCGAGTCGCTGGGCGAGGCAGACCTCGACCTTTCCTCGTAGCCATCGTCTCTGGATCGGGACTTGACCTCGTCGTCGTCGTTATATGAGGTGTGCTTCCGGCTCTTATGCTTCCTGCGACGGTACTCATCGTCTCGATCGTCGACGGACCTGGATTCTGAGCGTCTGCGCCGACGCCGGTGGCGGTCGCCGCGCTCGCTCTTGCGCTCTCGGCTCTGATCTCTGCTGCGTGATGGGGAGCGTGAGTGGTCCCGTTCGCGGGCGACATTGTCCCTCTCTGGTTTGACGTCAGGCTCCCTCTCACGATCTTGACTCGCCTCCCGTCGCAGGCTGCGGTCCTTATCCTTGGTGCGCGTAGATGAGCTGCTCCTCGATCGTTGCTGTTCCACGACGGGGCTCTGCGCGACAGGCCCATCAGCCGACGCCTGTCGACCGCCTCTCTCATCAGGAACGACATATCCTCGTGCACGCAACGTGTGCAAGCTTGTATTCGGCAGGCCCTGGCGCATGGCCTTGGGACCCGTCGGGGCATTTATAGGAACATCAGGTGCCGCAGGCGCGAATCCCGGGTTCTGGTTTGGGAAAGTCGGGGGTGGGATACGCTGGGGTCCATAGCCTACAGGCATACCGTTCCCGTTATATGCAGAGTAGTCACCGGAATCCTGTGCCATGTGTGATCCGTCCTCAGCGTTCTCCAATCCATCACGAGGGCCCTCCTCGTTCCCGGCCTCGTTCACGGGTTTGGAACCTTCGCCCCCACCACTACCATCCTCTCCGCTGTTGTCACCTCCCGCATGAGAGGCGTCGCCTTGCTCGTTGGTGCGCTCGCGGCCAAACTCGTCCACGTTGCTGGCTGCTCGACCAGCGACGTCAGATGCTTGGGCGGGCATGTTGGACCCGTGCTGCTGTTGCATGTGGCTCTGGTCCCCGTAGCCGCCATACTGTTGGTATCCGCCCCGACCATAGCCACCGCCGTAAAAGCCGCGTCCTCGTCCACGCCCACGGTTGCCGTAGTTGTTGCGGCGGTAGTCATTGAATTGGTGACCATAATTACCTTGATTGTACCCTGACTGGAATCCTGAGTTATAGTTGCCAAAGTCACCAGATCCCATGCCAGCAGCATTAGCAGAATTGAAATTATCTTGGCCGAAATTCCATGACTGTTGCCCGTTCCAGTTATTGGAGCCTGAGCCGAAACCACCGCCGAAGCCTCCCATGCCCATGCCTTGAGGACCATAGCCGCCGTTCATGTACATGTTCTGCATCGCCATTGGGTCCATACCCATTCCTGGCATACCTTGTAACGTCAGCTCAGGTTGCGCATGTGGCAACGGATGAGACCTACCCATCATAGGAAAGTTGCCGAACGAGTTAGCCCCCATGCCGTTCTGCATGGCCATCATCATCTGCATCTGGTTGAAGTCGCCGTTCCCGGCGAAGTTCATGTTCAAAAAGCCGCCTCCATTCATACCATTGAAGCTGGCGTTTCCATTCGCATTCGCATCATCACCTTTGGCACCTTCATTCTCCGCGGCATCATCACCCTCCTGCGGTTCGGCGTTTCCGTTGCCTTTGGCCACGTTCTCGTCGCCGGTGATGATGATTATCTCGTCGTCGTCCTCCTCTCCCTTAGAGATGGATGGCTCTTCGCCGTGGTTGGGCGCGTCCTAGAAGGCGTGTCAGCGAGGTTTCAAACCAGCACAAGCATCAATTGGGGCACCAACGTTGCTGTTCTGTGCCGCAGCCGCATCGGCGTCAGTGTTCTCGCTCGTACTCGCGTCCGCGGCGGGCGCAGGCCTGGAATCGGCATGTTCGCCCTGCGCACTGGGTGCAGCAGCAGGCTGCGAAGGGGTCTCGACGGCCGGGGATTCGGAGGGGGCAGCTGGGTATGGATTCGGCTTCGAATCGAGGGGGGGAGGTGGTGCCGAGTCCTTCACATCCCTGAACCGCGCCTCCTCGCGCTTTTTCTCCTGAGTACGGAGGAAGACTTTGATTGTCGTTCGCAGCGACTTGTGCGGCGTGCAGTCCTCGGCGGACACGGGCGAGTGCTCGCAAACCGGGCAAGACGAGGGTAGGGAAGATTGGCCTGGGATATCAGTCAGAGGACGATCGCAACGGTAGCGCAGGAGGTTGTACGACTGACAAGATTCGCAAATGGCCTGCTCGCAGCAGGGGAGGCGGAAGGCGTTGACGGCGAGCTTGCTGCAGATGGCGCACCGCAGCTTGATCGGAATGTCATCGGGCGCGAGTGAGCTAAAGGCGACGGGTTAGCCCGGCACCCCAAGTAAGCAGTTAAGATTGCAGACTTACCTGATGAGCTCGGCCTGAGCCGGGGTGATTGACGAAGCCATGCTGTCGTCGGTGTAGAAGGAAGGGCGCTCAAGACGAGGGAGACATGGGCGATGGAGGGGTCTGAAAAGTACAGCGGAAGTGGCCGCGTTGCGGTCAGCCGGAGATTGGGTGTGGAAAGGGGATAAATAAGGGGTTCAACGTGTCGCGCAGGTCACTCTCATGACGGCTGGTCGTGACGGTTGTGCGTTGTTTTGCTTGTTTGCGCAAGAAAGCAGGCGGCCGCAGAAAGATTCTGTAGTGACGGACAGGTTTGAGGTGGACGAGGCGCGGGAAGGACCAGAAAAACGGTGGGACGCGTGGGTGACGCCTGACCAATCAGGCGCCACCATTCACGTTACTGGCCTGCTCGTTTTACAGTGCTTGCTTGGGATCGGATACCCGTGCTGCCCAGTGAATTACTCGCTCACCTGCCGACTCACCCCTTCAGTCTGGCAATCCCACGATGAAACGGGCGGCGGGGCCTGGGGTTTGTTGTACCGGGCTGTCTTAAAGAACATGAGAGCGCTACTGTGAATCAATCGTCTTGACTGTGTAGGAGACTTCATCTACATAATGCACTACGAAGCATCAGTTCCAACTGACCCGCAATCCATCCCAATGTCTTCTGCTGCAATACATTCCAGTACCAAAACGACCATGTTACACGACGGAAAGTCGGCATGCAGAGGGGTGCGAGCGTCTTTGGGCCTGCTTCCAACCCGTGACGAACTTCCCCGCGGCTGCCGGATGGACGCTCCCATAAAAATGAACCCTATAGCAGAAATGCAGCGCATGAAAACTGAACGACTCCAAAATGATGAAAATAACGATTCCTCTTCGCCAAGTCGGTCCCTCTCGGGGTCTGGCCACACTCTCTCTGCCCCTCTCTCACACACACACACACACACGCGCAAACGCAAACGCAAACGAGCACGCACGTCGGCCTACGATCAGCAAGCGCATCCCTCCTTGGCGGCGGCGTCCCCAGATCCCGTGAGGCTGACGCGCTGCTGGTCCTCTCCGCCCCGGCTGACAGCGTGCGAGGCGCCCGGGCCCCGCGCGCTCTTCAACGACGTCTCCGGGATGGCGTTGGCGATCGCCGTGAAGACCTCGGTGACGTTGTGGCCCGTCTTGGCACTCGTCTCGAAGAAGAGCAGGCTCTCCTCCTCGGCGTACGTCTTGGCCTCTTCCGTCGAGACCTTCCGGGCGTCGCCAGAGTCGTCCGCGTCGGCCCCCTCGCTGTCGCCGGCAGATCCGGAATCAGTTTCGCTTGTGAGATCGAGCTTGTTGCCGACGAGGGCGATGACGATACCAGGCGAGGCTTGTCGTTGGAGTTCCGCCACCCAGTGCTTGGCCTTGATCAGCGACGTCGGCTTCGTGAGGTCGTAGACAACGAGGGCGGCTTGGGCGTTGCGGTAGTACATGGGCGCCAGCGAGGCAAAACGCTCCTGGCCAGCGGTATCCCAGATCTCGAACTTGATCGTCCGGGTCGGGAGGTTGCACTTTTGTGTCAGGAAGGCGGCTGCAATAGAGTCGTCGGGTTAGCTCTTGGCCCAGCGACCGTCCTGCAACGGCGATGTCTCGTACCTCCGATAGTGGGCTCCTTGTTTTCTTGGAAATCGTTGTTGACGAAGCGCAGGACAAGCGACGACTGAGATGCGTTTAGCACGAATTCACGATGCCGAGTTCGGATGGTGGCCGTACCTTTCCGACCGCAGCTTCACCGAGCAGGACCAGCTTGACGCTGCTGCTCGGCTTGGGGGCACCGCCGGATCCGTCCATCTTGATCGGTAGTTGGGTCGATAACGACAGCCTGTATGGAGTTTCGTGAGTTGGGCGGGCGGACGAGTTGAAAAGTCGGTGCAGATGGGCAAGGGCGACGAATTTGAATCAAGTTGCTGGCTTCGCGTGAGGTGGTTGGTTGAACGGTTTTCGTGATTGTGAGGTAGTGCAGGTTAGACGGCAGTTTGGCCACTGAAACAACGAGGATGAGGCGCAACAATGACGAAGCGCCCCCGTTCGACAGGCGGCGCCGGTGTTGGTCCGTGCGCTTGCTCTTCTCCAGCTCTAGAATTCCTGGAGGGGGGGCGGAGAATTGATGTGCCGAAGTCCGCTTGGGTAGGGTGGTCGGGGGGGGGGGGTGTGGGCGCCCGTCTGGCCAGGCCCGCGACAGGCGTACGGCAGCCGTTACTGGGCGGCAGAAAAAAAAAGTTCCTTGACCACCTTTGAATCTTGGATTCTGGAGGGTCCGGCAAAGGCTTGCAAGACTTCAATTCTCTCTTTCGCCCACCCCAACATTGTGCACATACGCCCGGCCTCGGGAAAAGGGAACCGACATAATGGCGCCCGAATCGAACAAAGAGAAGGTGCCGAAGAAGGTCAACCTTTTGGACGAAAGCGACTCAGACGACGAGGATGGAGGGGCAGACATCGCGACGCCGCAACTGAAGGTCAACGAGGAGTACGCGAAGCGATTCGAGCACAACAAGAAGCGCGAGGAGCTGCACAGACGTAAGTGGGCCCAATTCGAGTCCTTCATGGTAGCCGGAGGCAATACCTGACACAAGGCAGTTGAGGAGAAGTTCAAGAAGACCGGCAAAGGCAAGGATGACGACTCCGACGCCGACTCGTCGTCGTCGGATGAGACCGAGGACGAAGACGGGTTCCTCGCGACCGAGGACCTGGACGCCCAGATCTCGGCGACCCTCAGCGCGATCAAGAACAAGGACCCCAGGGTGCTCGACAAGAACTTTTCCTTCTTCCAGGATACATCAAACGCCGTCGCCGAGGCGACGCCCTCGAAGAAGAAGGAGAAGCCGATGTTCCTCAAGGACTACCACCGCGAAAAGATCCTGGCCGGAGGCGTCGGCGCCTCCGACGACGAGGACGACGACGCCCCGCCGCCGCCGCAGACGTACAACCAGGAGCAGGACGCCCTCAAGAAGTCCATCATCTCGGAGATCAACAAGGCCGCCGAGTCGGACAACGAGGACGACTTTGTGCAGCGGAAACCGGGACAGGAGGTGGTGAAGCCGCAGGACCTCGGCGACGAGGGAATCCACCCGGCGCGCGCGGCCAACGTCAACCCGTACAAGAAGAAGACCAAGAAGCAGATCACCGAGGACGACATCGCCAACGCCGACAAGGACCCGGAGCTGTTCCTGTCCAACTTCATGGCGGCGCGCGCGTGGACCGAGGGCGGCGAGCACGGCTGGAAGGCTTTTGACTCGGACGAGGGCGAGGGCGACGAGGGCGAGCTGTACGACAAGTTCGAGGAGGCGTACAACCTCCGGTTCGAGGATCCGGAAAAGGCCAACCAGGCCCTCAAGACGTACTCGCGTGAGATTATCAACGCGCGGTCCGTCCGCAAGGAGGCGGCCAGCTCGCGCAAGAAGCAGCGCGAGGCCGAGCGGGAGCGCAAGGAGGCGGAGAAGCAGCAGCGCAAGGAGGAGAAGGCGCGCCTGCGCAAGCTGAAGCTCGAGGAGGCCGAGGAGAAGCTGAAGAAGATCAAGCACGCCGCGGGCCTGAGCGGCAAGGAGCTCAAGGACGAGGAGTGGCTGCGGTTCCTCAACGACGCCTGGGACGACGACAAGTGGGAGGACGAGATGAAGCGGCGGTTCGGCGAGGACTACTACGCCGTGGCCGAGGGCGGCGGCTCCGACTCGGACTCGGACGCGGCGGAGGAGGGCGGCGACGGCGACGACCAGAAGAAGCGGAAGAAGAAGAAGCCCAAGAAGCCCACGTGGGACGACGACATTGACATCAAGGACATCGTCCCCGAGTTCAAGGACGGCACAGAACTCCCCCCCATCACGCTCACAGACGACGAGGCGGCGGCGGCAGCAGCAGAAGAAGAACAAGAAGAAGAAGACGACGACGACGACGACGAGGACGGCCGCCCGTCCAAGAAGCGCAAGACGACAAAGGACCTGAAGAAGGAACGGCTCGAGGCCAAAAAGGCCGCCAAGGCCGAGCGGGCCAAGCTCGAGGCCCTCGTCGACGCCAAGATGGACATGGACGCGGCGCTGCCGTCCGGCTCCTCGTCGCAGAAGGACACGGAGCTCCCGGCCTTCCGGTACCGCGAGACGTCGCCGCAGTCGTTCGGCCTGACGGCGCGCGACATCCTGCTGGCGCCCTCGGACGCGGCGCTCAACAGCTTCGCCGGCCTCAAGAAGCTCGCGACCTTCCGCGACGAGGACAAGAAGCGCAAGGACAAGAAGCGCCTCGGCAAGAAGGCCCGCCTCCGCCAGTGGCGCCGCGAGCACTTTGGCCAGGAGTACGAGCGCACCGGCCCGACCTTCGGCCTCGACGAGGTCCAGCTCAAGGAGAAGAAGAGCAAGAAGCGGGGCAAGAAGCGCTCGGGCGACGGCGGCGACGGCGAGGGTGGGGTCGAGGAGAACGCCGAAGACGGCGGCGCCGCGCTGGACGGCGCCAGCAAGAAGCGCAAGAGGTCCAGGGGGGGCAAGAAGAAGGCCGATGGCGTAGCGGCGGAGTGACGGGGGCTACCTATACCGAAGAGCCGGTCAGTTTACCTGTTGATCCTGGGGGCTTTTTTTTTTTTTTTCATAAAAGTCATTTTTTTTTTCTTTGGGTTTTTTTTTTTAGTCATTGCATCGGGCAGGCATGGAAAAAAAAAAAATAGTTGTATTTAGACCACACTCACACCCCATGATACCATACTATCCATGTACAGTTTTCCCCCTCGTCGGACTAAGACGGGAACGGGTCACGGGCCGCACGCATCATAAAACCCAAACAAGCTTACTGCATCCTCTCATTGCCATTAATGGTAGGTATCTCGCAAGTGCAATAGTTAAGCTAAAAACCGCCCGAAACCTTTTTTATATCTACAAAAGTCCTGTCCCTATACCGTCCCTTCCTTTTTCGCCTCCGTCATGTGATTCATTAGTAGAGAGGAGGGAAAACGCCAAAAGAACCCCCTCCCCAAGACATGAGCAATGCACCAGGTGGTATGTGTATGTGGTTCATAGGAACGCCCGATGCCTTCCTTATTTACTTTTTTTTTTTTTTTTTTTTTACTCAACGCCACGCCTCAACCGACCGCTTCAGCGCGCTCCGTGATGCAGGCTGTGGCCAAAAACGTTGCCGAACCCGTCCAGGTTCATACCCATGTCTTGGCCGATTTCGGGCGGCTCCATATTGAACGGCATAAACCACGCCGTCGATGCCTCTTGACCCCCGAATCCTGCAACGCTGTCCGGGTGTCCGTGACCGGGCCCACCCATACCGTTGGGGTTGCCGCCGCGATGCGGACGAGGACGGGCGCCCTCACGGTGTGTCCCCGATGCGCTGTGGGCACTGGAGGGCATGCCATCCCAGTCGATGCCGTCAAAATGGCCCATGTTGCCCTGTTCCATAGAGTACCCGCCAAAAACGAGCTGCCGGTCGAGGGGCTGCAGAATTCCGCTCTGCTGATGCAACGACATGCTGAGCCAGTCGGGCGGATAGAATGGCGACGTGCCCTGGTGGTGTTGCCCGAATTGGCCGACGGCGATCGGACTGATTGGCGAGAGGGCATGGTAACTCGGTCCCTGCGAGTGAGCCACGCCGAGGGGGTTGAAGTTGGCTGAACCGCTGGCCTGGGCGCCGAGGGAGCCTTGCGCGGCTCTCTGCTGCTGCATGCGAGCGCTCAGCTGCTCCTGCGCGGTAGCGGCAATGTTCTCGGTAGAGAGCGGCTCGGAATGGGCCCCTCCCCCCCTGACCCCCATGCACAGTTTCTTTCCAGCAAAAGACTTGCGCTTAGACGGGTTCGGCCTCAAGGAGCTGCCCTCTACGCTACGAGGCGGTGACAGCTTGGTAAAATACTCTTCCACGGTATGTAGCTCGGGCTTCTGTTCCAAGACCGCATCGTCGCCCTTTTCTTTCTTCTTCTGCGTCGCTGGGTCCGAAAAGTCGGATTGTGATACGCCATGGGGGTATCGGTCGAACCAGTCGCCGTACTGGAAGATGGGGGAGGCCGTGGTGGCATCCTTGCTCGAGGATCCCCGTCTGGCAGCGTCGGCGTATGTCCGGTATTGGCTACGAAGGTTTTCCGACATGTAGTGGAACATGCCCCAGTACCTTTTCATTTTGGAGAGGAATTTGACGTTGGTTGCCAGGTTTCTCTTTGAGGCCGCCTCCACGGCGGGGTTGCCGGAAAAGATGCCAAGTATGTGAATGGTTCCCGAAGAGAACGCGCAGTATCCGACAAAGGGGGCGGTGACCATGTGAGACTCGGCGTCCTTGAGGAGTTCGGAGATGCGGTTGGCCGCCGCGAATGTTTTGTCGCCGGCCTTGGTGACAAAGTCGCTGGGAAACCCTTGGGCCGCGGCGCTTTCCGGTGTCACCACGGCGGCACGGTTGAGGAATAAGATGTTTTGATGGATCGCGATGTGGAGAAAAAGGAACTGGTTGGCCATCCTCTCCGTGTCATGGAGTGCCAGGTTCTCGGGCGAGTATCGCAGGAACTCGGGGAGGTCATCCAGCAGCCTGTCCGCCTCCTCGAGCAGCGTGGCGTATTGGGACTCGGGGCTCCAGATGGGGTGGGGATCGAGCTCCTTTCCTCCTTGGTTGATATAGTTGATGACCCTCCCCCAGAAGGCGATCGTCTTGATCATGTGGGCGGCAACGCCCATGTTTTCTTTGGCATTGGCCATCTGGCCATCTTCTGCCGACACGGGATGCGGAACCTTACCCTTGAGGGTTTCCGTCGGCGCCGGCATGTCGAGTTGGAAATACCTCTCCTTGATCGGTAATGGTATGTCGACCGTCTCCTCCCGTACAAACGTCGGCCGTTCTGTGCCCGATGAGTTGAACCGATCCATGAGGAAGCAGGCCCACATCGTCCTTCGTCGAATTTCCCGGTCGATAAAGCTCAACTGCGATGACCCGTTCCGATTAAGCGGGTCGTGGTCCAGGTCCTTGTGAAGTTGAAGGGCGAACGCCATGCGGATTGCTTGCCCGCCCAGGGCCCAACTCCTCCCGCCGTGGCACGTGCCGAACTCGTGCAAGCCCAGGATCAACAGGCATGTCAGAATGGTGATGTTGGGCCATTCGTACCGCCTGGTGCAGATATCTCTGGCGTGTGATGCCCACTCCTCCCCGCGCAAGAAATTGGGCGAGGAGCTGTTGAGCTTGGGGTGGCTGGAGAAGCGCGCGGCGACGGCGCAGACGGACAGGATGAGAACGGGTGGCAGCGTGCCGGCTCTGCGAATCGGTTAGCCTTGGGTCGGCAGCGGAGGCCGTCTCACGAGACATACCTAAGCTTCCTCATATAACTCGGCTTGTGAAGCAAGTGGTATGCTTGGCCATAAATGTTCTCGAAAAAGACCTCGGCTAAATGTTCCTGGATCTCCTTGGAAGGCAGTGCGTCGAGCCCCTCGAGGAACAGCTTATTGTCTTCGGCTTCCTGCGCCCGAAGTGAAGTTGGCTTGTTGGGCGTCTCGAGCAGGTTTTTGACCGGTGCTTTTGCCCAGTGGTCGAGGTCTTGGCCGAAGGCCTCGTCGGCGGCTCGCTTCTTGGAGCCGGCCTTGGCTGCGGGGAGGGTACCCGGGATGGCCGGCTTAACGACGGCGCGGGTCAGCGACGCGGCATTGGCGTCTCGTTCGTTTTTCGGGACGATCTTGATGATGCGCTCCTCCATGCGCTTGAGGCGCTTGTCCAACATGGCCATGTAATCGGTCCTGGGCGCGGCCTTCCTGGTCGTCACCTTGTACACGCAGGGGATCCGGGAGCGCAGGCAGTGCTTGCAGGCGGGCTTTTCACCGGAGCACCGGATCTTTTTGCGTCGGCACGCGATGCATGCCAGTGGAAGGCGCTTTCGTTCCTTCCCGGCCTTGGTCTTTAGTTCACTCCATGCGGGGGTCTGGTCCGTCTTGTCCTCCTTGGCCTTGCCGGCCGGCTCGGCGCCGTTGCCAGCCGTCTGCGTAGGCAAGCCGAACTCGTCGGCTCCGGCGTCTTCGAGGGGGTTGTGGTCGGCGTGGCCACTATCTTGGCTGCCGTCTTCCGAGGTGATTACGCTATTACGTCGCCGGCCCATGGTTCTGTCAAAAGGACCAGGCATGACGGTTATGGTATTTTGGCGTGCGGCTATTGAGGATAAAGAGGGGGGGTGGGACGTCGCGAAGGGGTCGGAAGCATGATCTGGCTCGCCGAGGAACATGATTGGATTCTGGTCGTGGAGGTCGTGGGGTGGAAAGGAAAGGCCGTTGGCAAAGTGAGAAGGGCCGATGAGAGTTTGGGAGACGTTGTTGGAGGGCATGCCGTCATTTGAAGTTCTGGAGGAAAATGCTTGGTGGGAGGCCGAGGAAGTGGTGGTTATGTGGGAGTGAGCGCCGGGCGAGTCCAGGCCCTGCTGAGAGTATTCAAGACTGGCAGCTCTGAATTGCTGGCTTTGGAGCTGCTGCATACTACTAGATGACATTTTTCCTCTGCCATGCGGGAGGAGACGAGCAAAGGGAAAAGATCAACAGAAAGGCGACTGCGGGAAGAGGACAGTCCCGAGCAAACTGGCTCCCCGCACGCCGGTGTTGGAGGACAGCGTCTGTCCCTGTGTCTGTTTATGCTTTCCGACCGCGGTGTAAGTGTGAACGCGATTGTGAACAGTGGGGGTCACAGCTGTCGTAAGCAGGGACCATAATATGTAGGGCAAAAAAAAAAAAGAAAAGAGAAAAGTATAAAAATAAAATGACCGATCCCAAGGCGAAGGAGCAACGCGGTCGCTTTGCCCCGTCTTCGTCGGCGGTTTCGTCTCTCCCGGTGGTGCCAAGTGTTGTAATGTGTTGGTTGGCGAGAAAGATGTACAGAGTTGGAGAGAAGAAGGGTACGAGGGAACGAATGGGGATCAAGCCTACGCGAACAACGATACGGGGACGTTGACTCATTGACTATTAACAACGGAAAACTAACAGCCGAACCGACCTGCAGCGATGAAGGTGGAGACATGAATGAATTGCTCGCCGTGGGACAGCTTTTGCTGAGGACCTGAACGCTCTCTTGAGTTCGGTTCCTTTACATTATAGATAAATTGTCGGGAACAGGTCCTGCGGGCGAGGAGGACCTTTGCTGTTACTGTGAACGGGCTATTGCTAGTTCCACTTAACTGAGGATCTCGGGCCAGCACATGCATATAAATGACCCAGAGAGACTATACAAATCAGGAGGAGCCTGGAAGGAAGCTGAATCAAAGAGAACGCTTGGCAGCGACGGGCCTCAAGAAACGACTGGGGACTATCGAGAGCGTATAACAACCGCTGACAGGCCGCGCCCCTGTTGTTGATGGCATAGTCTCTATGCCTGGAGAACGTAATTGCATCACAGAGCCCTGAGAGAGAGAGAGAGAGAGAGAGAGAGACTTTGAGAGAGAGAGAGAGAAAGAGGCGTCGAGCTTTGTCGTAGAGAAGAAATTCCGACTCTACCACTTGTAAAGCACCTTGGGGAGGAAAAAAGCAGAGTCCTGAAGGCTGAGGGGAGCGAGGCCAGGTCTATCTTGGGTCAA